AACCTACTGGAAGATGAAACAATACAAGACAACCTGTGTTCGACCACACTCAAGACAAACCCTCTGTAAACCTACCTGGTAAATGGACAAATGAGCATCAGTGAACCAAAGTGCCTATCTATGGACTACCCAACTACCTTACAACCTACCTCAGCTCTTTATATCTCTTATACCAATGGTTTCCAAATGGTGCAGATGAGGCAGAATAACTGAAAGTCAATCAAGGATTCAGAAACAGTTTCAAAAAATTCATATGCCAAAAATAAATATGATTTAAAAATTTAAAATATTATAGATTACTTGTAATTGCATTCATGAGTCCCATTATAAATAGTTAGAAATAATTATTGACCGATTTTATCATTGTGATATTTTTGCATTATATCAAGTATTAAGAATAACTAATGTCTGCAAATTGGGGAAGAGAGTTATCAATGATAATGTTCTTACTTTGAATCTGCAGTTATCTCCCTTTAACCTTCATTGTTATTTTTAAATATACTATTTATCACATAAAATTTGGTGAGGTGCAAACAAATTTTAATTCTGAAAATGCAGCCCAGAGAAAAAAAAAATAGTTTGGGAACCAATGCCTTATGCTTAATTCAACCTCAACTATTCTATTTACCTCAGACATAAATAAAATTAAAATCAATCTGAAGTTTGAAGTGGAGGGACATGTTATCTGCAACTGACTGCCCCTAGTTATGTCCCCTATCATGTACACTCTTCTTGCTCTTTTGGTATATAAATCACTTCCTGTATGACTGATTCATTTTCTATGACTTATCAACCCTTTGCAGGTTATTTAAAGCCAAGAAATATTTATATTGTATGAATTTTTATTTGAGAAATGATTTTACTGATGCAAGTCTTACTAATTAATCCATAGCTGGGGAGAAGAAGAAATGGATCCATACCTTTCCCAAGGGTATTTGCACATAAGTAGACAATGAAACCAACTGGAATTGGAACTTGGCTCTACAGTTAACAATTCCAAGTTATCCATTACTGCACTGCACATTTAAGCTTACAGCACCTAATATACCCAAGCAGTCACCCAGGTACCAACTAGGCTCGATGTTGCTTAACTTCCATGATAATATTTCAATGTGATATGACTGTAAAACTACTTCCTGTGTGGTCGCCATGATACTGTTCTTAATACAGCTTGCTCTTATTCTTTACCATCTTCAGGGCCAAAGAAAACAGGGATCATAGTAATTTTAAACTTTATGATCTTTTCATTAGCTGTATAGAATGTACTACACCAGGGTTACAGGTTTTTAATTTGGATTTTCTCTTCTCCTAGACTGGTTGACAGTCTATATATGGGTTTCAGCTTAAAATATCTATCCTTAGTAAAACATATCCAAGAATCTTTTTTGTCTGATGTCGCATTCTGCAAACCAAGCCTAATAGTAAGAAGACATTTAGACAATCATGAAATTTAGACAATCACGAACCTTTGTGGAAAAAAAAAAAAAGTGACACTATTATTTTAACTAACTTCACTCCTTGAAAAAAAAAAAAAAAAAAAAAAAAAAAAAAAAAAAAATTAGAATTGTAATAAAACCTAAACATATGAAAGTGAATTTATACATTTTCTTAAGAATTGGCAACTATCAGGTCATCCCTTAAGTTCTGTCCGAATTTTGAATAAAGAAAACAAGTGACCAAATGTTACATTTAATTACAGATTCAATCAACAATGTATTTTCCCTGATTATCTATGACTTCCTTTCATCTATTAACAAGCTTACTAATTCCATTACTGTAAAATTCTTTTGGTTTTGATTCAAAGAACTCACAAATGTCAGTTTTAACCTCTTCCTGTGTTACAGAATCATTTGGAAGAAACAGCTTTTGTAAGCTACGAAACAAATGGTAGTCTGAAGGAGCAAGATCAGGAGAATAAGGTGGATGAGGAATTTTCTCCCAACCAAGTTCTTTGATCTTTTGTGACATGATTCTTCCTGTGTGGAGTCGCACATTGCCCCAATGAAACATCACCTCTTTTCGATTCACTAGAGCAGGTCTTTTTTTCCTCAAAACTTGGTTCAAACGCTCTAATTGCTGACAGTATATTTGAGTATTAATGGTTGCATTAGGTGGTAAGAATTCAAAGTGGATTATTCCTTGGCGATTTCACCAGATTGAAAGAAGAACCTTTTGCCCATGAAGTTCCTTTCTCGGCTGTGGCTGGGGTCCTTCCCCTTTACCAAGCCACTGTCTATGGCGCTTAACATTTCGATAAAAGATCCATTTTTCGTCGCCAGTCTATCCAAAAAAGGTGAAACAAGTTAGCGAGAATGGAGAGAAGAGCAGATGTCAACTCAGGATTTGAGGTTGTTTTCAGACAATTCATGAGGCACACATTTTCCAAGTTTAGGAACTTTTCCAAGTTGTTTAAGATGACGAACAGTTGTATGGTTTCAACTGAGAACCACTGCCAATTCCTCAACTGATAAAGCAGGATTTTCTTCAAGGGCTGCTTCAAGAAGCTTTTCATCAAACTCAACTGGACGTCCGGTTCGATCTTCATCTTCAAGGGTGAAATCTCCACCTCTGAATTTTGCAAACCATCTTCTGCAAGTTATTTCATTCACACATTCCTCTCCATAAACTGAGTGAATGTTTCTAGCCACTTCGGCTGCTGAGTTTCCTTTCTTGAACTCATAAAGCATTGTGCACCTCAAATGATTCTTGGGTACTTTCATGTTAGCAGGGTTTTAATCAAACAAAATTTAATTTTATTGTTCTCTGAAATAAAATTTGATCAGTTTAAATGCATCTAAACATAAAAATAATGTTCAGCTCCATTAGACTAATACTCTTTAAATTTTGTTCATTTTAACAAAAAGTTGAAATTTGACCAGAACTTATGGGATGACCTGATAAAAATAATAAACACTATTAAATTATTTATTGGAATGGTTGGCAAAACATTGGCTAATTACCAATTGATTCAAACTTTATAAACTGGTAAATAAGATTTACTTGTAGTTTGTTCACATTTCAATAATTTAGTAAATGTTTATAAATTTTCTGGAAAAAAAAAATTGTTTTCATATTTATTTCTTTATAAATTTCTAAATGATAAATGTCACTTTGCCTAAGTCTTCAGAATGTTGTAAATATAAAATTATTCTTGTAAATAAACAATCTAATCGTGTTTAATATTTTTGTTGTCAGTTCTAAACAAAAAATGTATAAAATTCACATTCCTTGAGTGATTCAAGCCTTGTAAGGAGAAAATAATATCTGGAGAGACGTATCTTTGAAACCTTTTTTTGGTCAAGGTGGGAAATAGTCAGAATCAGAAGGAACATTGTCTTTCATGAATATACTCTTTAGCTTAACATTTCAAAAGAGACTATACAACCCATTGACACAAATTTAGGTTTTCTTCCAAATTTATGAGCCCAGTACTTTTGCATGTAACTATATATTCTATGTGACTTAAGATATTGCTGTGAATAAGTTTTCAATTTTCTTAAGTACATCACCCTCATTAAATTAATGAGATGATGGCTTGAGTCTTTCGTACTTAATACTTCAATATCAGGGTTTTAAATCATGTCACAAAGGTTTATAACTTGAAAACTGATTTTATATACACGAACACAAACACAAATTATGTGTAAGTTTTACACACCCAAATTATGTGTATGCTTTTACATACACAGGTAAGTATTTGGAGTTAAATCTTACCTTTTCATATTGGATTTTGTTGAATAATTCCTTTAAGCTATTTGATTCAGGTCGTCACATTTTATCAAGATATGTCATAAAATGTATAGCTCAAGATAATGAAGTGAATCAACAGTGAAATATTGATTTGCTTTTTTATGGTTTAACATCTCTTTTTAGGCTATTTAAAATCAAAACATTTTTGGATTGAATAATTTTTATTTTTTTTTGGCAAGTGAATATTAGATTAGGCTTGGAGAGAAGAGGTAGATTCATATTTGCATGTGAGTGAACATAATGAACCTGACTGGAATTCAAACTTGGCTTTCTAATTTCTCATCCTGAACCATTATCCATTACACCACCTGCACGTCCAAGCTTACAGCACCTGATATTCCCAAACAGTCACCCATCTAGATATTGACCATGCTTGAACAAGAACCTGTCTAATCAAGAGAGAGAGGAGTGTAGAGAGAGAGAGAGAGAGAGGAGTGTAGAGAGAGAGAGAGAGAGAGAGAGAGAGAGAGAGAGAGAGAGAGAGAGAGAGAGAGAGAGAGAGAGAGAGAGGGTGAGAGAGAGAGAGAGAGAGAGGAGGTAGAGAGAGAGAGAGAGAGGAGGAGAGAGAGAGAGAGAGAGAGAGAGAGAGAGAGAGAGAGAGAGAGAGAGAGAGAGAGAGGAGAGAGAGAGAGAGAGAGGAGGTAGAGAGAGAGAGAGAGAGAGAGAGAGAGAGGGGAGAGAGAGAGGGTGGAGAGAGAGAGAGGAGTGTAGAGAGAGAGAGAGAGGAGTGTAGAGAGAGAGAGGAGGAGGTAGAGAGAGAGAGGAGTGTAGAGAGAGAGAGGAGTGTAGAGAGAGAGAGAAGTAGACTTTTTTCTCTTTGAAATTTGAAAGAAAGAAAAAAAAAAACTTCCACATGACAAAAAAAAAAATTAAAAAAAAAATTTAAGAATAAATAAAAATTTATAATTCACTTGGTATCAATTTTAATGAATAGCAATTTTGTTAATAATGACTGTGGATGGATTTGTAGATGGTTCCTCTTAAAAGCAGAATATTAAACACAGACAAAGAAGAATGTAGATAAAGAAAGGGGGGGGACCCATCCACAAAAGAGATGCACAAAAGAAACAGTGAATGCTGGAAAGGGGTGCCCCTGTGCCTGCTGTCCGTAGGGAAAAGCAGTGACCAGAGAGCATTGTTCACAAAACCAAATGAGAGCCAGCTTCAAGTGCAACTCAAAGAGAAAACAAAAGTAGCTTTGTATTTGAAGACACGACGATTCCTAAAGAAGTTGATTATCAGGTTATTTATTAGGTTCCTTTCAAAGAGGACATTCCTGCCCGCATTATTTCATCCACAAGTAGAAGGTTGCTTGCAATTACAGTACTACAATGGAAAAGACACAGAAAAAGATTAGTGATTAATAATGTTAAATGATTTTAATAAAAACATTGAAACGTTATTGATCTTCCAAAGACACTAGATTCATACAAATACCAGATTAAAAGTTGGATTATGCTTAATGTATTAGGATTATTAGAACTTTGAATTAAAATTTTGGATTAACTGAAAGAAGAGGGGAAGAAGAAAAAAGAGGCCAAAGTAGATATTTCTATTTTTACAGATTACATCAAGGGACAGTCGGTTTAAATTTATTAAATATTTTCTCTTTAGTCTGAATTTCAATTTTGTCATTTTGTTATGAAGACTATTTCTTTGAAAAAAATATTTTAAACAATTAAAAAGAGTCTTTATATTTTGATACTTAAGAGTTTTATTGTAAAAAGACTGGCTTTAGTGAATCTGTATACAATAAAGATTAATGGATTATCTAGATATCTAATAGATCATCTATCTATAAAAATCTATGATAATCTAAAATAGATTAGATACCTAAAAATAGATTAATAGATAAAAGATTAAAGACTAAACATCTTATTGTAAAAAGATTGACTCTAGCAAATTGGTACATAATAATAATAATAATAATACTAAAATATGAAAATAAATATGAAAGAATTCAACAGTTTTTCTTTTCAGGCTAGATAGAAGGTCTGCCAAAAAGTGCTTGGTAGATAATCAGTAACTATAATATTCAATGAATCAGAAAGAGTTCAAAATCTGGTTACACGGGTTTTGCATCAGAAAGTTTTTTTTTTTCTTCTCAGAACAATCAACTGCAGCAAAGTGCTAAAGGTTTAAAATCTCTACTGCTTCAAAAAAAGCAATCAGAGTGAGCTTGCAAGTGTGTGTGTGAGAGAGAGGGCATGTATGAGTCTCTCTCACACAGTCACTGCTCTGTGTGTGTGTGTGTGTGTGAGTGTGAGAGAAAGAAATGAGAGATCTTATACTTCTGTTTTTTACTCTCTCTCAAAACTACGACTAAGATGGGCAGTGAAATACACATTTAACATCATCATCATCATCATCCAAACAATTGTGAATGTAGACAAGCAACAATATCCTTGAGATTTGATTAAACTTACCATGAATGGAGTAGTTGTTTCTTAACCCTGTAGTTGTCAACGATACCAGCATCAACTGGGATCAAAGCTTCACCTATAAAAGAAAGAATTATCAATGATCTTAGAAGGAAAAAAAATGTAATTTCTTTTGTTTTAAAGTGCTCTTAAAACAAGCCCCAAAATTTCCATATAGATAGTTTACATGAACATGTGGAATAAATATTTAATTTTTTGCTTTCTTTTTCTTTTAAAAATAAGAAATGAAATAAATATCAGTTGTAGAATTTCTGAGTCACAGGTCCAAATAATTTCAACTACAAAAGTTACAAAGCCTATATATAATCACTGAACATTTCTTGCACAAAATGAAATATTATTTACTCCCTCCCCACCACCTGAATAGGTGCAGCTTGCTTTATGTCTTTTCACCTGTTTCTTCTGAAGTTTTTTCATTCTCTTTCACTCCCAGTAGCCCTTTTCCATCTTAGTGGCATTATTGGCTTACTTGGGGCAAAAGAAAGAGAAAGAAAGAAAGTATATACCAGAACAAAGAATAAAATAAAGAGTGACAGATTTCTGTATATTGTGGTTTAGGTTTAGAACGTTTGTCTATCACAGCAAATGAGGAGTGGCATCTTGTCATTCTGTACACTTCATAAAATTATATCATTATCAACAAAATTGAATAAAAATCTTTGATAAATTTGAATTTCTTCCATTAAAAAATACAAATGGAGTTATGTTTTTTTTTTTTTGAAACTTCTGCTCATATTTATAAACTGTAAAACATACAGAAAATTATTGGAATAAATGTTCATCCCCAACCAGAACTTGAAAAATTTAGATGAAAAAAAAAAAAACAAAACAAAAAAACAAAACTATATACACTGTTCAGACAGTTCCCATCTTTGTTGTCCTATTCACAATGTTTTGGCAGTTGTCCTCAAGTGGACAGTGAATAAGTGTTGATTGAAGTAATCCAGTGACTTGACCCAAAGAAGAAGAAGAAAAAAAAAAAAAAAAAAAAAAACACCTTGGAGAGTTGAGTAATTAAAGGGAAATAACTGAATCTGATATATCTGGAAGAGGCATGCCATGTGGAACTAGAACAATCTACCACAGTGGATGAAATAAAAGGGTTTGGTTCAAACTTCTAATCACTTGAAGAAGGCCAGAGTGTATATCACAAAGATGAGGACAACAGCCCAAACAATGTAAAATATAGTGGCTGAAGAGTCATTAGCACAACCATCAACAGTTTTGTCAACCTGATTTCACCAACAAGATTCAAGGTTAATCTGTAATCCCACACACTGGGGTCATCTCCCCAGGAGAATATTACCAAGAAGTCAATTTCTTGACTTGATCCACCATGGTGAGGTTCAAAATCTGACTTCTAGCCAGAACACTAATGCTCCAACCATTCAACCAAGACAGAAATCTACCCTAGGAGAATAGAAAGACTTAATATCTGTTAAAGTTGCCTAAGCATTTTTAAATTTTTCTAGATAAAGAATAACAGTAGCTTGAAGACTCTTACCAGTTTTTATATCAATGCCCACAGCTTGAGAAGGAGAAGTGTATTCTTGAAGTAGTTTAACCATTGTCTCTTGAGGATCAAGTCCAGAGTTTTGTGCCAGCACTTTAACAATAATCAAAATGGCTTCAGCATAGGCCTGGACACCTGTAGGAAGAGAAAAAGATCAATCAGCAAAAATAGAAATTGGCACGTGGTTTGTTTGTGTTTTATGACACATCAACCATTCTGAGGTCATCCAAGGTCAAACACATTTTTTTTCTCTTTTGTAGAATCAATCAGTTAATTGTTATTTCACACCTGTCCATTTTACTAGATTTTATTATTAAATAAGCTTGTACAATTTAATTTCTGTTAGAAACCCTATAATTTGGAAAAAGCCATATTTTTAAATAATGTTTTTATGTTTGTTATTTTGTAGAATTTGCTGCATATATGTGTGTAGGTTTTGCATTATATTAGTATATATTTTATTGTTAGTCTTTGATTGAATTAGTTACACTAAGGCACACCTTCTCTAAGCAGATATGGGCCAGTCTCGTGTAGCTAATATGGACATGTGTTAGTATTGTACCTTCCCTTCGATCAGTTATGTTTATGTTTTCTGTTCCAGCGGTGGTGAGATTTAGAAAGAGAAACTACAGTAGAACATCAACTATTTAAATATGAATTACCAAAACAAAACTTCAAAGTCCTATAAATATCTAATTTCACGATTATCCAGAGTTGTCATCTGTTACAAATGATGGAACTTATTTATTTGTTCTTGTTTTGATGTCTGAAGAGAAACTAGTTGCTTTCCTGACAATCAGCCATATCAAACTGTTGAAATAAAGTGAAGGATTTTAAGATCAAAGGCTGACCAATGAAATCATTGAGAACCACAGACAACTAGGATTAGGACAATTTGTTAAAAGTTAAGATAGATGCTTGAGTTAACCATGACAATATTGGAACAGAGAGATGATCAGATTAGTAACATGGTTAAAGGACAGATGCCTAAGATACCAATTCTTCCTGCAGTTTTGTCATAGAGGAAGAAAATGAGTAACTATCAACACTGAGGTTAGAGTGTGATACTCTGGATTTATGAATACGTTTTCTGCAATATCTGTGTCAGGCTACTGACTGTAGTGAATATTGAGTGGAACTATCCAGTTGAATTAGTGTGAATTATTGTGCGCCGAGGATTTGGGTTTTGATTTAAGATTTACTGGATGTTAAGCCGAGCCACGCTACTTACAAAATACTCACTGAAATGGTTAATTATCTTTGGTTGACTTTTACTTTGTTCTTGTTAAGTATTTATTTGCAGTTGTAATTAAATACTATTTTATCTTAATATTGAAGTCTTGGGTTATGCTTAATTATTAATGCCCACTGTACGCCACAAAAGTTTTTATATTAACAACGCTAACATTTTTTTTTGCTGCACTAATATCAATATTCTGCGACTTTTCATGGAATGTGTTATGATGCATAAAGACAAAAACCAATGCCGTTGGTGCATCTTTGTCAAATGCTATTGCTGGCAACAGCAAAAAAAAAAAAAAAAAAAGGGGGGGCAAAGAAACCCACAAAACCTCAAACTATTACTCACAAAATAATTACTTACCGCCTCAATGAATGTCTGCAAATTTTTTTTTTTTTATTTTATAATTATATTGTGAATCTTTTAATATTCTACTCCATATTTTGGTTATTTAAAATAAATGTTATGTCTAAGTACAACAGGTTTATAAAAAAAAAAAAAAAAAAAAAAAAAAAAAAATCGATTGAATGAAATGAGTAAATCATTTAAAGCTGCTTTTTTTTTTATGCGTTCAAACACAATATGTTTCTCATTTGAATGACTAACAACCAATACACCTATTTACTGACAAAGAAATTGGTAGCAAATTTATTCCATCATAAAGATGAATAATCTATGGTACCAAAACCAATTATTAAAACAGATGGGGAAAATTTTGTGGTTTTCTGAGGTACTGCTAATTTCTCCAGATTATCTACACATTTCTTTGGGTGCAACCATCTTGTGACACTAGAATTCATTGTCAATTTGAGAAAATTCAATTACGACATTATTTTCATTACAACAGTAATAGTAGCAGGACCTGCTGACATACAATATAACCATGATAAAAACATTTAACCAGCTATCAAAGAACAGAGAAAACAAAGAAATCTCTCCAAAGATATGTTGCCAGGTGAATCTGAGTTGTTAGACAGTGGTTGTGTGAGGACATATTACCCCAAATTTTCAAAATTGCAGATTGGTGTAAAAGGTGGAGTAAAGTGATGGTTTTCATTCAATTTCTTGTACATGAATTATCAAAACGGGCAACACACACACACACACACACACACACACACACACACACCTGAAACATTTACTTTTCTAGTATAAGAAAACTGGTAACTAATTTACTTACCTAATCTGGCTCGGCCTTTCACCTCCTCTTTGTACTTCATCAATTCACGATAGGCAGCAATTTCAAAAGCTCCAGCTCCAGGCAGGACAGAGCCTGCAAAGAAGAAAAAATAAAAATAAAAGGTTTTTCTTGGAATGATTATAGAAATGCAAGTAGTTTACAGAAATGAAAAATTTAAACAAAATATGGAATGTTATAAAATGGAGGACATTTGTGTTGCAATATACACAAAATGTCCTTTATTTTGGAATATGCAAAAAAAATATCAATCTCATTCATGAGCATTCATCCTCCTCTGAGTCCATATTGAGTTTTCATGAAAACCCCTCAAATTGATATAAACATGAGACTATTAGGGGCGGGGGAATATAAGAAATTGTAGTACTTGGTTTTAAACACCAGGTATCATCAATTGAAGTTTCATTGGAGATCAGATATCATAAATTGAAAATTTAAACTTTTACAATGAGACACACAGGATTCATTCATGATTTGAGTCTAAAATGAGTCAATTGACAAAACAAAAATTCATGAGGTTACCCTATTTCATAGAGAATTTGCTGGCAAATAAATACTGGAAGAACAAGCCAAAGACAGTGTTATACCCACATACATATTTCTCAAAGAGGGAAGAGATGAAAAAGAGTGACAAGTTGTTGTAGAGAAGCACAACTCCATTTTGCATGAAATGCTTCAGTGACTCTCATAGTTAAATAATATTAAATTTAGAAGCCTACCACTTGTTTTATTTCCCTCTTTTCTTTATAATGTTTGTATACAAGTAAAACTAAGCATATATATATATATATATATATATATATATATATATATATATATATATACACACAAGTAAATAAAAATCCAAAATTACCTCATATGGGAAACAGGCCCATTTCAACCGACGAAAACAGTCTTATTCAACCCCAGTATATAGACTGAGTTTATGCCAGAATAAGAAATAATTGTTGTCAAAAAACTAATACAGAATTTATCTATTTCAATGTTTCAGTCAGACGAAAGATGCAAGACAGTGGTCAAGGGAGGGCGGAAGGCAATTAGCTTTAAAGGGAAGAGGTTTTATAAAATTAAACAAAGATATAAACCTTATGACATTAAATTAGGGTTACATGAAGAATGAAGTGTTAGTTTGAAACTGAGAATGGAACAAAAACGTTTTTTTTTTTTTTTTGTTTCTTTTTTAAAAAAATTTAAATAGATAAGTTTAAGTTTAAAAATACAAATTCCTGCTTAAAAATACTCTTCCAAAGTTATATTTTAAAAAAAATATAAAATTATACTTCAAAAATACATAAAGCTACAAAATAAATTTTAAAAAACCTAAAAGATATATATAAAGAGGTGTAAGTAATAAAAGGAAAGAGAGTTATTAGAACAGGACAATAAGATAATTAATATGGTGTAAAAATAGAAATATAAAAATTAGAAATAGTTATACATTTGAAGAGTTAGAGAATTATAGTAGCTTATAAATAATAATAAATATAGTATGTATATATATATATATATATATATATATATATATATATATATATATATATATAGACAGTGGTAAATATACATACATATGCAAAATATATAAATACCCACACATGTATATTTTTAGAATAAAAATTCCAAGAGGAAGAATCCAGGTAGAACTCAATGTCCAGGACAGAGTAAGGATATAATAAAAAGGCTTAAACACTAATATAATAATGGAATAAATTATGACCATGGAATATTAGTGTTTAAGCCTTTTTATTATATATATATATATATAGTTTATGCAAAACTAGGTAATCCGTATAGGTAGACCCAAGGAGGATGATATCCAGAGAGCTCAATGTAAATTCAGAGCAGATATGTTTGAATTCAAACATATATATATATATATATATATATATATATATATATATATATATATATATATATGTGTGTGTGTGTGTGTGTGTAAATTTTGTCCATTTGGCATGTGTGTTTGTGTAAACCTTTTTGTCATTTAAGGCTTTACGGATGAATAGAGATTTATACAACATACTTTATTAAATTCTGTTTATAAAGAAAGTCGATGCATGACAGCATTCATAGAAAATTGAGAATGAAAGCTACAAGGTTAGATTTTTTTCTTCTCTCTACCTCAGGTAAGTGTTTGTAGTTTAATGGATATGGCTGCTGTCTCAGACATGCAGGGTTATCTAGAGAAGAGAATCAAAATCTTGCCAAAGGCTTTTTCTTTATTTCCAATCCACACACACACACACTTTGCAGCTGTAGAATCACTCTTGAGAGGAGAGAGGGTTGGTTATTTAACCAGATCAACCACTATAGGTCATTAATGCCAAAATGGTTGATTTTATTCAGTGGCATGACAACACCCATGGGCCACTGAATAGCGTTATCCAGGTATTTTGTACAACTTTATGGTTTTGTATACAATTTTATACTTTCAGGGTAAATGTATGTATTTTTTTTTTTTTTTTTTTAGATATATAGTTTAAAAATATATAAAAAAAAGCTCAATGCATTTTTTTTTAAAGTGCTGAAAGCAGCCTACTTTTTCAGGAAGCCTATTATTTGAGAAACCGATACATTTTTGAAAAGCATAGTATGGTTTTGTACATCATATTTGCTGCACGTTTTCTTGTATCTTTTATAGTCTATTAGTATACACTTAACACATTGAGCAATTAATCATAAGATCTGTCTATATTTCTGAGGTGAGGTATTATGTACACTATTTACATTATTCTGACTATTGTCCTCATCTTTGTCCTCAAGGATACATGGCACAGTGGATAAAGGCGTTAGTTAGATCCAGTGACAGGACCCAAAGACTGAGTTCAATACCCAGTTAATGGCAGTGGAGAACTTTCAGAGGGAAATTAACAGGAGATAACTGATAACTGACATCCATTAAACATGGCACGTGTAACTAGAACAGTCTACCCCAGTGAGCGAAATAAAGGGTTCAGTTTGACATTCCAACCACCTGAAGAAGGCCGGAGCATACAACAGCCGAAATGTTGTAATAAATATGGCGACAAAAATGAGGACAATAGTCCGAATAATGTAAATAATGTAATCACAAGATATGCACCAAGGTGGAGCTTCTGCTTGGAATGATTGTATGTAAGATAGATTTGAAGAGAGAAGTAAAAGAATAATTATTTAAACAACATTCTCTCAACAAGTTTTTTCCTCTTTCCCTACTTCCACTTTTTATTTGGAGGGGAGAGAGAGAGAAGCAAATCAAGTTGTATAATGCCATAAACTTTTGTGTTAAATCGGTCTCTTGTTAATTTTAACATTACCTGCCTTCATAATAAAAAAAATACTAGATGACTATCTGATGTTTTATCTGACAACAATTACAGGATTTCACAAACAAAAACCTAGAGAAGAAAATATAAAGGAAAGTTTATCAGAACATTTTGAAAATCTATCAACTATTTTCCCTTTTTATTACCCAGAATATAACTCTGAATAGCATTATGATTGTTTATTATGAAAATATAAAATATTAACCAATAGTGTAAACAGAAAAACCCAACTTTGTTGATATATAAGAAACCACAAGAAACTCACCATCTTCAATTGCATTTTTGACAGCCCTGAGACCATCACGAACAGCATCTTTGATTTGTGTGAGGGTGTGTTTATTCGGTCCTTTGATGAGAATTGTTACAGACTGGGGATTCTGGCATTCTTCAATGAATGTGAATTTATCTTCACCCTAGAAAGAAATAGAAAAAAAAAAAAAAAATTTTTTTTTAAATCAACTTCACACCAATTCCAGCTCAGACCTAAGATTGCCAATACAACAAATAGAGATGGGGTAGGGTTTTTTTAATAATGTGTCAAAGAACTTGTACAATGTAAGAAAAACAACTTAAGATAGCAAAATTCTCAAAATTACAGCCTCTGACTTTTTCAGTCATCCATATATCAATAGATTATAAGAAATTGATTTTTTTTTGGGGGGGGGATAAAATGATTTACTGATACAAATCCTAATTAGCCTATAGCTTGAGAGATTTATACCTTTTCAAATGCTATTTGCACCTAAGGGAATATAACCGACCTGACTAGAATTGGAACTCTGGTGTCTAATTCTGACCTGTTATCCATTATACTACCAACCAACACTTACAGCACCTGGTATTGTCAAGTGGTCACCTATTTAGATACTGTTCAGTTTAGGCATTGCTTAACTTCATTTCAAGGTGATATGGCTGTAAGCCCATCATTCATATAATCTAATGCTTATTATTAGAGGACAAAGCAAATAGCTATAAGTTGAAAATGCTTCTGTTCCTATTTAAATATGGTTACCGTATTTGACGGTATATAAGATGCACCCCAATTTCAGTAGGGCAAGTCAAGAAAAATTTAGTAAAATTATTAGTAAATGGTAGAGCCTAGGCTATATTTATAAGGTATTATTTTGGTTAAACAAGCCATTAATACAATTCAATGAAAAATAATAGGAGAAAAAGAACACAAGCCTATAAAAATCTTATATGCAAAGGTAAGAAAAAATAAAAATCAAGCAATTATTACAATTGAGCTAAACAATACATTTACCATTAAAATTCAGTCAAAAGTTTTCCTTTATATGATCTGTACGACCTGCGTCTTGTAAACGTCTTAGTGGAATAATTAGGATATAAAAATTCTGATTGTATTTATACCAATGCAACCAGAAGTTATCATAAGAAAAATATTAATGAAACAAGTATATTTTACATATATAATTTGAATTTATTGCATATAATTTTAGTGAAAAAAAGTAATATTAAATGTGATGAATTTAATCTAATGAATATCAATGATAACACTTTGAATCTGCATAATAGCCTTTTAAATAATGACAATAGGGATATAAAAGTTACTCAGGAATTGCCAGATAGATAATTTCAGCCAACTAATACAAATTTTAAATCTACATATGGCATATAAGATGCAGGGGAATTTTAAAAGATATTTTTAATAATAATAAGGAGTGTTATATGCTGTCAAATATGGTTAACTATCAATTATATAATTCTTTAAATATTCTCCTACATTTCTCCCATAACATTTACACATGAGAGGTATTATGAGACAGAGGTATTATGAGACAGGGGTATTATGAGACAGGGGTATTATGAGACAGGGGTATTATGAGACAGGGGTATTATGAGACAGGGGTATTATGAGACCGGGGTATTATGAGACCGGGGTATTATGAGACAGAGGTATTATGAGACAGAGGTATTATGAGACAGAGGTATTATGAGACAGAGGTATTATGAGACAGAGGTATTATGAGCAATAGTTGAAGATTTGAATACTGAACTCATGAAAAAGGTTCAATTGGCATTGATTGGATCATTGGGGACAAGGGCAACATTTCTTTTTAACAATGCTTATCAGTCGTTCTTTCAAGAACAGGCAGAATTTTTGTGCCTACAGCAGCCAGAATCTCAAAGTACTTAATCTTCAAGCAATGGTCAGTTATTACTTACAGAAAGAAAAATGTTTCAAAGTGAAAAGCCAACTATATTAAAAATCCTTACCAGAACATGTTCATAGACAAGACCAGCATGACCAAGGCAATCAGGAGTGAGAGTTTCCACAGAATTCATAGCAATACCACCACAGGCTAGGGTTAACCTAGAAATAGCAAATATTTGACAGAGTTAATTAATTTGTTATGGTGAACAGATATAAAATAACCCAATGAATAACAATGGAAGAACAAAGCTGTAACATTTTTAATTGATTTTAATTGAGAAAGAGGATATAAAAAGTGTTTTGTCTTACCTCTCCATGTTACGTCGCTTGGCTCTCCTCAAAGCAACAATTCCTTCCTTGGCCAATAAATCCAAAGAGAAGGGATCAATGCCCTAAACAAAAAGGGAGAAAAATCTTAATCTTAAATCATTTACTTGATAAAAAAAAAAAAAAAATGTAAATGTGGGTGAAATAATGTTTAGACATAAATATTCATATAGTTTGTTGCAGAAGAGATTTATGTAAATATTTCAAACACATACATATAGAAACCTATAACGTAATGCATATAGAAACCTATAACGTAATAAATATAGAAACCTATAATGTAATAAATATAGAAACCTCAAATAAGCCATCTCCATCCTCCCCTAGCTTTCAAGCAACAGCATGTTTCACATCTTTAAAGTGAATCAAAATTTTAACATTGTTTCAACCTACCCATGATATTGTAAGTAAATTATAAAAATATATTTAGGAAAAGTAAACTAGAAGAAAGACAAGTTTATTTTTTGTAGTGACATAGGCAAAATGGACTCGGCATATTTGCATAGAGTCAAGCAACTAAGTGGGAAGGGTTAAAACCATTGTATACGACAAATCATGTATAAATCAAATCATTATTACATTTTTAACCAGAGTTAATTCTTTATTTCAAAGAATTCTTGTCTGTGTTGCTCTTTGCCGTCAACCTATTCTTCACTTCAGTTTGCTTCATCAAAAACACAAAGTGGCAGGAGTGAATGGTTGAGAAGCAGAAGAATACCAGCCAGATTCTCCACACGTGACAATAACCGACATCATTTTCAGTTAACAATATGAAAATACCGTTCTCTACATCCCTCCAGTTGCTAAGAACATTCTGTTTTTTGTTATTATTAGTTACGTTCTTTAATTAAATTCATTTCATTCTTTGCTTTGAGAAAGTCCACATTGGACGAAACACAGCAGCAAGAACTACAGTTTCCCTATTGTCATATATATATATATATATATATATATATATATATATATATACACACACACTGTACTTACTTTCTGGTTGAGAACCACAAAATTCTTGCTGTTATTGTTGCAAACTGCTTTTTTTAATTCAATTATTTTTTTGACACGATCATCAATGAATTTACGTTCGGCTTCGACCAGTTTCTCCCGCTCTGAAGCACTTTTGTAAAAGAAGCCAGAGTTGACTTCGCTGAAAAAGTTAAGAAACAACATATAAATCAATTGTCAGTGTTGTATATATGGCAAGAACAAAACAATTTCTTTTCTTTTTTTTTTAAAAAAAAAAAACAAATTCCCATGGGTTCTTTTACTGTTTGTATCCTTTAAAACAGCAAACCATAAATAACCTTTACAGTGTGACATACTCAGCAATGTAGCTTTATAAAAATGTTATGGATAGCATGCTGAATGAGGGCAATATATAACCTAATCCTGTGACAGCAAGTCCTCTGTATTTGTGTGGGTTAGGGACCAGAAACCCCCGAAAATAGTTAGAATTCATGAATACTTGTAAACACCCTAAAAGTGGTTATAAGTACCTATTTTGATTGTTAAAACTCTATATACCTTAAACTTTCAACCTAAACAGTTTAGAAATATTTCAGACTCTTTCTGAAACATTTTTGAAAAATAGTATTGGTGACTATACATGTAGCGTAAATTTTCTTTCATACATTACAATAATAGTTTTTAATTACACATAGATCGATACAACCACTGAAAATACTGTATAAAATATGTGTAACAAGATATAAAATATAAAGTTTAAAACATTTTTTTGAAACATAACTGTGATGATGCCTCCAGACTTAGGATAAGCCACTTTTAAGACCCCCACCGGCAGCCCTTAACAAAGAACAAAGCTCAAGCACTACACGTGTGTGTGTGTGTGTGTGTGTGTGTGTGTAACAATGAAGATGTACAATTCTGCAAATTTTTACCATAAAAATGAACTGTTATATGTTTTAAGTCACAGGAAAAATAATACAAGAATATTTTAAATATGTTCTATCGAAAAAAAAGTATGCGTATCAAGGAAGTTCTCAGTGAGTAATTTGTATTCCCGTCTATTTGCGTTTCAGTGAATGCTGAAATGCAAATAGACAGGGACTAATTGTACATGTCAAAATCATAGTAGTCAATGCCAGAAGAATATCGGTCAGATCCTCCTTCCCTAGATTGGTTTTAAAGTGTGTAGAGTTGCATATTACAACCTCATTGTTAGAAATAGCCAGAAGAAATGTGATAATGAGGGCTTGTCCTTGCCTGACCCCAAAAAAAAAAAAAAAAGGAGTGGAGGAAGAAAAAAAAAAAAAAATTAAATTTCATTGTTTCACCTCTCTTTATCTTATATCCGAAATAAAGAGGTCTCATAAGTACAGAAATAAATGTTTTTTTTATTCATAAATATAGTAGATCACTATCCTTTTAAGAAACTAAGCATATAGTCTTGCAAATTCTCCAATGGATAGTGAATTCTGCTACACATTTTATTTGTAAATAAGTGGAATCAAGTTAGCTTTCTTAATGAGATGGAATCAAATATAGATTGGAATATGACAAGATAAAGAATAAAGATAAACATTTCCTATTTGTGTTGTAATGGAATGTCCCACACTCCCTATTGCATATGTGGACTGACTATATCAGTAGATTATATATATATATATATATATATATATATATATATATATATATATATATATATATATATATATTAGTAAGCACAGGATATATCTGGAGAACTTGCTTGGAAATTAGTCTAGAGTTGGAGATTTGTCCCACAGCTGTGGTGGTCAAACTCTCTGCCTCCAAGCTATGTCTAAGAGCATGGTCTTGTCTTGGGAAACAGCTTTCCAACAGGGAATTTTTGGCCAAGCCTACAGGCTTGGATACCCCAACATTAAATTCAACCTTGTGCTACATCTGGCGGTTGGTAGATATCCTTGCTTCAGAAATTACGAGCTTGCTAACTGATTTCCTCTTTTACAATAAACCTCTCTTTCTTTCATCTATGCCTGTATTGTTGTCCCTTTTACCACCTTTGTCTGTTTGTAACCTTTAAGGATACGACAATTTGTTTTTCTATCTATCTTTTTTTAATATGTTGTAATATTAAGAAAACTAAATTAGTTCCACTTATTTACAAATGTGTAGAAGGATTTTTTTAAAAGTAAAATTTGACAAAAATTTGAATAAATTTTTAGACATTTACTTGAGTATATGTTAAGTTTTATTTTCAAAGCAAACGAAATAAAAAATCAGGCTATCTTATTTTTTATCCAAATTTGACAGTTGTAGAAAAAAAAAAAACAAAAAAAAAAAACAATCTAACATATTCAGAAATTAATACTTACGTCTTTTCATATTCCAGAGAAACATTACAGGTCAAAATGTAAGCATCTTCAACTCTCTTCTTCATATCTGGGTGTCTGGCACCATGATCCATGACAATTCCTCGAATCAAACTTTAAAAATAAATATGAAATAGGACAACAGTTTGCAAAAATTTCCTTTATTTAATATCTAGGAGTAATAAGACATCTTTTTTTATTACAATAAGAGATTTTTAAAGCAACTAAATCTACAAAATTAAAATAGTGTGATTAACAAAAATTTTAATTTTGTTTTCAGATATTTAGCAAATTAGAAGGTAAACATTTTTTATTTTTAAATGCAAATTCAATATATTCCAACACACATGAAAAGATTTGTGATGTGAAGGTCAGGGTTCATAGAGATCTGTTAAAAAAAAAATCCAGGACTATGTTAAGAATGGTCATCATTTTCAAATACACAAACATTGCTGGTTCCAAAAATTCATGTTACAGATCAGTTGAAAGCAGTGAAGAAATCAAAGTGTTGAAGACTAAAACACAACTGAATGCAGACCTGGTTATGTTAGACATTTTGTGTAGCATTCTACACAGTTTGGAGTTCTACTACACTTGAATTACAGTCTTTAATTTTTACTGCTACACATTTCAGCTATCTAGACTACTCATGATTTGTGAATGTCACAAAAATACTTGTTTGATGCACACTTCCTGTGAAGTTAAGTATAATGGTTTCAGTGAACAGAATGACAAATAGAAATTTTCACAAAAAGACTGCACATTTTAGCTACTCCTAATACTCAGGGCTTTCATTGCACAGAACATAATATTAACATTTTTTCAATTCATCCAGTTTAGCATTCAGCTCTGTTTTTCCTGGCTCTTTGTCCAGAACAATTTTAGATGTCATTTCGGTAAGCACACATTTTCTTTATTGACAACATATGATTTTCTATTTTCCAGGACCAATATCTTCGATGATACATTAATTGTCTCTTATTGGTGGGAAGTGGGGAAGGACAGGTAGTCTTGGTTTTGCTCACTCTTACTGAATTCAGTCTAGTTAAATTTGGTTTAATTCTCCTTGGAACTGTTTGAAATTTAATTTAATTATTTTGAAACAATTTTTCAACACACTTCATTTTTAATTTTCAACAATTATCATTCAATTAGTAGTCTCTTTCCTGCCCCCTCCCCTTATTTTTGTTTGCTTAACTCTAAGGTCCTAGCATCTTATATCGCTCTGATATTTTATCAGAAATAGTTCAATGTTTTTTGAAACAGACACAAAAATCTTCAGTTTCACTGGAAATAAAACATAATTTATGTTTGACAGCACTGCAGAGAAGGATTTGGTCTGGGGGGCACATTTTCCATCTTTTTAAAGCTCACAAATTTGATGACATTTGGCCAAATGTCTAGTTGTTCACATGTTTGTACATTTTTAAGCAATCTATGGCAGAAACGCTAAGGGACAAGGTTGCCAGATTGAACGTTTAATATAAAGCCAAACACGTATATATTTCATCATTTTTTCACTTACAAAAGTTAGCTTGCAAACTATAAAAATAACATTTTTATTTTTTCAAAAGACATTTTCTATCCTATCCTAAGACACAACAAAAAAACATTTTCTATTCTCTCATCCTTCCTATCTACATTATCTTTGATTAAAATTTGATTCTCAAAGTTCTTAGTTTTGGTAACAATTTAGACAAACATAGTTTACACATAGATACACATTGACACAGAGAGGGGATGAGTAAAGTATCTACTTTTTCAGCATGAACTCTAACCTTTTACCTTTTCTTAAAAGTAATTTTATGATTAAAATCAAGAAGTATAAGCAGTCAATTGCTGATATCCTCTAATGAGTGATCTCCGAAACACTGGAGTCGGGATGCTAAAAGTAACATCAATCAGCTAAGTAACAAACCTTTAATTTGTATTAATTATAATATATATCTCCAAGTATGGGGCAAGAACAAATGGAGCATAATACCACTGTCTGTAGCATATTTTATATATATATATATATATATATATATATATATATATATATATATATATAAAAACAATGACTTGATACTACAAAATTTTATTATAGCCTTAAATAGCACAGATGTAAGGATCTCAATATTAAAATAAAGGAAAAACTACTCTTTGCAGATAAAAGGAGTTTCATCCATTCCCTTCTTTTGGGAGAACATTAATCACCCCTCCCCATATCCAGGTCCATTTCTGATGCTTCAGGTTAGTTTACCAATTTTATTCATTTTTAATTTTACAAACTCATTTTCTAAATTTGACTGAATATAATTTTATATTTTAATCATGTGCCAGTGTTGTTCTCCCTTTTAGTCCCCTAAAAGGGCATTTCACTGTTGAGAAAAAAAAGAAAAGAAATTGTTTCCATTGATGACTGACCACTGACAAAAGGGGTGATTGAATATTTCCTTAGTTATTTCCCTTTTTTTTATATTAATAGGTAAAGGTTTATATTAAGATGCTTATACCACTGCTATAACACACTACTATATATATATATATATATATATATATATATATATATATATATATATAAAAATACCAAATTGTAATTTGTAGGGATTATTCCAAAGAGGACTTTCCAGTCCATATGAGAGCTCAATGTATGATACATAGCAAATTATAAGAATAATTTGGGAAAAAAAAACAAAAAAAAAAAAAAAAACAAAAAAAACTATAGTCAGTAATAAAAAGTAGTTGGACTGATGAGATAAATATACTTATATTCATCAAAATATTTATTACTGACTATGGATTTTAAAGGTTTTTTCCCCCTAATTATATATATATATTAGAGAGATATAGGATTAACATGAATAAAAGATTGTCACTTAGCTGATTGATGCTACTTTCAGCATCCTGATTCCAGAGTTTTGTGGGCAGACCTGTCCTTCAGAGGGTATCAACAATTTACTGCTTAGATTTTTTTCCTTTTTATGCATTGGCATAATTTTTTTTATAGCTTGGACTATATTAATTACTTTTGCTTTTTTTTCTGAAGCTTGAAAAGTATTATTCGTAATTTGGAAAAGTTGATCATTAAAATTGCTATCAAATATTGTTTTCAATAGTATTTGCCTCCAAGAACGTTTGCTGCCTAAAACACTTTATAAAATAAAAATAATACATAAAATATCATTCAATGTTCAAATTCTGTTAACTTTCAGATGGTGAAGAGAATTTCTGCTAATGAAGTGTTTGATAATTGTCTAGAGGAATAATTAGAAAACTCGGAAGATTGACAGTTATAAGCGTAGAAAAATATTAAATTTCAAAGTTAGCATATATAAATAAGTTTATGAATGAATAGACATTCTGTAATTAACACCTGAAGTTCTGAAGAAACTAAGAGTTGACATTCAATAAGTATTGTGAAATTTCATACATATTATTCAAATGTTATTTTTAGTATTTGAGTAGATGCTCTGTTTGGTTTTTGTATTTGAACAGTATTTATTTAGTCTACTGAACTGCACATACAAGAAAACTTAGAAAAACAAAAAGGTAATTATTATTGTGTTTTCTTAAATACTAATAAATATCTACAAGCCATTTTTTTTTTTTTTAACTAGATACTAATTTACTGAATAGGTTAGAGATAACCAACATTTGATTGCAAATGGAAATAATTTACAAATCCAACAAAATTCTGTTATTAAATTTTTCATACTTTACAAAACTTAAAGCAATTAATGTTTTTTATATAAAAAAAATTAAATTGTTAAAGTCATAAGGAAAATAAATGAAATATGAGAAAAAAAGGTTTCTTACACAGTATCCATATCAGTTTTATGTTTCATTTCCATGACTTCAATCATGTGTAAATCGATCGCTTCATTGGGCCGGCGAATGGCTAAAACAGCATCGACGATATGCTTCAAAGAAAATGAAGTTAAATTTTAAATTGTATCTGCACTTTAAATTTTTTTTTTTACTTTTTTTAATTGTGAGTGCCAATTGCAAAGTGTATAGAAATAGAAAAATTACTGAATAGTAAAAAGGTGGACAATATTGTTATACATTTTGATAAAGCTGAAAAATATTGGCATTAATTCAAATAATTAGAATTATTTAATTAATAAAATGCCAAATTTTAAAAAGCACTTCAACTACTCAAGTTACTGACAAAGAGGATTTTTTCTGAATTTTTTTTTAAATTAATATATTATATATATATATATATATATATATATATATATATATATATATAAAAATAATATATGTGTGTGTAAATTATATTAATTAAGTCATTGTCTTCACTTTTCTTATTAACATAATATTCCAGCCAACAATCTCTTGTATTCAAAGAAGGAAAATATACGTAGCAAAGTCTACAGACCTGAGACAACATAAATATATCTACGGGAAGTGCCAATAAAAAAAAAAAATAAAAAAAAAAAAAGTCCCAAATAATCATGCAATTAATATTTGCTTCTGAGCAGCATCCCTACAAAAAAGAGTTCTCAATAAATAATAAATAAGTAAAATTAAAGGGTGGCGGAATAAGTGGAGTCCTTACCTCAGTGAGGGTGTCAGCCATTTTATGATGCAGCTTGGTATGCAGAGAAGTTCTGGCCACTTCCATCAGAATTGAACGGTCAATTTCTTTGGTCACTTTCACCTCCTCCAACACCTGGATAAAATAAAATATATTGATAACTTTGTGTTGTAACCCAGGGAAGGTTACTGAATAGAATAATCACATGAAGGCTGATAACGAACAATAATACTTAGGACAAGAACAACACATATAAGATTTGCCATCGGCGCATAGTAGTAGTAGCCAACTGCTAAAAGCGAGTCAAGTGAATTCCACAATGAATCTCCAACTGTAGATCAACATACAGTATTTACTACTGTATTTATGTGAAATGGAGACACCAATTATTGTCTTTAGGTATGTTACAACACTTAATTTAAAAAGGAAAAAATAGGAAAATAAAGAAATCTCCTGAAATAAGCATTTATTTTTAAGACATTATATTGTATATTTAAGTATGAGTGTATGAAACCTGAGTTTGATGTGCTTTGCCAATATTTGGGGGGGGGGGTGTTAGACCCTATATGAGAGAAATACTCATTTCTTAATAAATGCATTTAATATTTTATCTATTAAGTGGAGAAAATCCTAATTCACAGATGTATGACGTAGAAAATTACAATAAAATATTCAATGCTTTATGAGATATGAAACGATATTCATCTTGAATAGAAATCCCAAATTAATCAATTCCACCTTTTTTATGCTTGGTTCATAAGCCACAATCAGATACAGTGACCAATTCCACCTTTTCTGTTAATGACAAGTCAACATCACCAGTTGAAATGTCAATTTAGTTAGACATAGAAGACATGTGCTTTGTGCCTCTAGCTTTTTAAAAATAAAGAGTTTTTTTTTGTTTTTTTTTTTTAAATATAAAAATAATTGCTATAGTGCACCAGTTGACAAATGTAGCAGTAGAATAATGAAATAAGTATGGGAGAAAAAAAAAAAAGAAAAAGAGGTCCATATGTCATTTTTCTTAAAGTTAAGTATAAAAAAGTCTTGCAGACAATTACTTCTACCGTAGTGAGTTTCTCATATGATTGTCTTGTATTACACAAAGCTTAGTAAATATCAATATGATTTGAAAACTAGATCCCTTTTATGTTTTTAACTGTATTATTAGAATATATAGAGAAGTAGAATTGATTTAATGGTCACCATCATCAGTCCCATAACCAGATGTGATCATAGTGTAGCTGTGCACCCGACCAGTTCAGCCCAGATACCTGGGTTGAAAGCTGGAGGGATTTCATCATGTGTAGCATGTCTTGGGCAAAGTAGACATGGCAGATCCCATAATGGGCAACAGAAAAAAAAAAAAAGAAAAAAAAAAAGGAAGTGGCCAACCAAATTCAAGTTCCAAATGAAGTAGCCTAGTTTTCACTTTACAACTTATTGCATGTTTATATTAAAGAAATGGACAGCAAAAAGTAACCCCATTCTTCTCTCCTGTCAAGAAATATAATTAAAGACCACAGTAGGGTCCATTCTTCATCTATCAAATCATAGGATTCTTTTAATTAATTTATATCCATCAAGAGATGGATACTAATTTATTGTTCTGTTATCAAAATTCAGAAGATGATTTCAAATCCCCACTGAAACTCATAATATGAATTTGCATATTTGGATGAATATGACCTTTGTTATGGTGTCAGCAAGAACGGGAACCATTCTTGGGTTTGTGTGGGTTCAGGAATCACTGTTGGAACCTGTGATTGGTTAGCTCTTATGGACTCAATTGCATCCAACCACCGAGTTTGGTCAGTTTTTGTTCAGGATGCAGCAGATTTGTTTGGAGTCTGCTCAACTGATCTCTGGTGAATGCCACAATAAGTAGTACCCCATGCAATGGGTTAAATAGCAGATCAGATCTCTAGCCATGGTTGGCAACCAATCTAAGAGAAGGACAACTCTAAATTCAAAACTGTATATAGCTCTGGTAAAGCAAATACTATACTGCCCTAGAATTGACAGTGCAGGCTGGGATTTAGAGCACATCCAATGAATTATGATAAATACTTGTGGCCTTCTACTAACCTTAGTAAATATTAATACACCTTTAAGCTAAAATAGTTTGACTAAGTCTAAAAGCAGTCTTGGTAAAACTAAAATTCATTATTTTGTATATAACAAAAACTTCAAAGCTTAGAAAAATCTGAAATGAAAAGAAAAAGACAGAACATTAGACAGCTTCAGTGTCTCCAACTTATAGAAATGTACTCAACTAGATAAACATGTGTGACATAATATATAAAGAGGTAGTGTAGCTATGACACATGTAGGATGTAACAATAAACCAGGAAAAGGTGAATTCTGAACAGACATCAGCCGAAAGTGAAAATCACAAATATCCACTGGTGAAGCAAGAACAGATTGCTGGTAACTAATGAAGATGGTAACCTAACAATGAAGGAGAACATTGCATCAAATTACATCCTAATTCAATGTTAGTGCCACTCAACCCATCAGTCAACGCACTGTTCAGAAAATGTTACATTCTATAGTTACCAACTAACATGGATACAATTATTGACAACATTGCTTATTGAACCCCACTGGCACTAAAAGATCACCACCATAGAATTATGGAGAATTGATGCTCACCGTTCTTTCAGGTGGAATGTATGTTTTATATGTAGAGAAGACTGCATATGTCCCAGACATGTTTTATTAAACATGACTGGTACATATTGAGGATACTGTGAAATTCACTGCAACGACACCCAACAAATACAACTTATTGACTTCTCTGAAACATACCTGAATAGATATACCCACATAAAACACCATCACTTTTAAATCAGCTGTATAGTCATTGTTAGTCAAGTGAAGGCAAGAGCCACAGGTTATAATAAATGTACTCCATCCCATGCTTGTCAATTTTTACATCTGCTCCTCAAACCACAATATTAAATATTCTTTAATTGTTTTTAAAAAAAATCACTTATGCTGTAACATTTCATGGAGAAAATTTCATGGAAAATTTAGAGACATTGACAGACATTTAGTTTTATTTCTTTGAGGTTTTTGTGATAGCTTGAAAGACTCATTTTTTAATAATTTCCCAACAACCAGATTTATGAAAAACTTGTTTATTACATTTTCTGATTTTTCCACAACTTCCATATTTATTACAACTTCTCCCTTTCATTTAGCATCTGAGAGCAGATGAATAATTTTTTTTTTTTTTTTAGAATTCCAGTTGATAAAGAAAATGTAATTGCAATGTATGAACCTTACCTCCAAAGCCTTCTGCTTTGCAAGATTAAATCCCTCAGTGATGTGTCTTGGATGAAGACCCTAGTGGAGAAAAAAAACAAAAGAAATTATGGTCAATTTTGAAATTCCTGCAGTATTCACAATCACTGAATTTCGTCTCCAATCTGAAATGACTCAATGGCCATCAACAGAATTTGAAATGACTCAGTGACTGTCAATATAACTAAAAACTTAGCTTCAGTGACTAAGATGTTTTTTTTTTCATTTTTTAAAAATTAAAGGTGAACAACCAAAAACAAAAAATACTGAAAAGTCTAATGTATTTTAAATTCTTGAATTTATTTTATTTTAAAAATAGACCATGTCAATTAATTTTAACTTTATTATTCTTTCATCTTAATTTCAGTTTTCTTTTTAAATTTTTTTTTATCAGAAATTCTCAGAGACCATCAGTACAGATTGGGAAAAAAAGTTAAATTCTAGTAAGATTTGAAAGCATGACAGTTACTTTATTGATTAAACTACACAAGCCACTATAACAAGATGGTAAACTTGATCAAACCTTTACTGTATGAGAATGATTTGAAGCAGGAAATAAGATTAAACTGTGAAAAAACTAATTAAGTGTCAAAGAGAAAATTTGTTTTCTATTCAGAAAACAAATTAAAAATAATAATTAGAAGCCACAAGTTTGGAGAAGACATTACAGAGATTTGAACCTGAAACAAACGAAGTAGAATTCATTATGACTTCTTAAGACTGGATTATCCTCAGACTATGTTTTTAATCATTTCATCCCAAGCAAGACAATAAAGCCACTAAGATGCAAGGGATTACAGAGTGAAAAAAAATATAAGGAGAAAAATATTTTTAATGAGAGGAACAATAAAAGAAAAGGAATTAAGAAGACAGAAGATAACAATTGACATTGATCTTCAAAAATTTAAATACAAAGTTGACTGGAAAGCAAGAGGCAGGAAGAGTTCCATAATCGAGAAGTGATAGAAAAAATTTATCTGTCTATATCTGAGATGAGATATGATTATTTACATTATTCGGGCTTATTATCCTCATCTTTGTCATATTCACAACGTTTCTGCTGAAATTCCAATCACCTGAAGAAGGCTGGAGTGTATAACGGCCGAAAATTTGTGAATGCAGGGTTTGTAACTAGGTTTCACTTTTTCTATATAGTTTAGACTAATGACTGTACAAGACAATAAAAAGGCTAAGACATTTAAAAGAATTCAATTTTATTTGAATTCATCAACCTACTTGGTTGCCTCTGGGGCAGCATGACAAGAGTTATAGTGTAAAATATCCCAAATTCCAAAGTAATATTCTTGCTATGTTCATTTAATGCTATCAAACCCAACAAATGGTTATATTTTTATGTTGGGCTTTGGAATGAATGCATTCCATGAGAGGCCATTTGTTTTTTTGAAAAAGTCATATCTGATTGAAAAAGAAATCAATAAATCAATGCCAAAATTTCTCAAATTCTCCTATATAAATGAGCTAGAGTGACAGACAAATAGGGAGACCAGATGAAAAGATAAGCAAAGTCCAGTTTTAATCATTCCTTCCCTCCTCTGGTTTCTGCCATCAATGACTTCAAAGACAAGAGGTCTCTCCATTTACCATGAATTACTGCTAGAATAATTTTCTACCGTCAACCATGCTATATCAAAAGTTTAATAATTCTTTACTCCTTATGTACTTTTAAATGCAATTTCTCTTCACTAAACCTATTGTTAGCAAAATTTGTTAGTTTATACCTTAAAAATGGCTTTAAGCAAAGAAAGTTACCATGGCTGCAAGGATTTCACACTGGTAATCTCTGTAGAATTGCAACACTCTGGTTACCTCCTAGCTTGCTGATGTCGACATGTGATGGCCATAAATATCAAAGACACCACCAATTGACAATGCCAAGAACACTACTTTTTTGGTAGCACTAAGACAAGAAACAACAGATAGACGAACTAAATGAAAACAAGTGACAGTGACGGGGAGGTTGATTATATCACTAACAATTTTTCACGGTTAGATTTGAACTTCTAAAATTAGTAACTATTGTAGCATAACTGGTAAAACAGTGTTCATGTTAAAAAAGGCTAATTTCAATACTACTACAAAAACTGATTTGTTGAAGAAATGTGAACAGACAGGCAGACAAATTAAAAATAAATTCACGAACATTACAAAATACAATTAAAAAAAGAATAAGAAAAATCAGTTCTCAAAGTCACAGTTTGTGGCCAAAGTGTTTGCATGACTTCCTGCAATATTTGTAATAATATTGTCATATATTATGGCAGATTATACATGGGGCAGGTTGAACATTGAGAGCCATTATTTACAGGTGTGCTGAATGCTGAAGGGTTAAAAGATATTTAAAGTCTTGATGGATCCAATCATTAGAAAATGATAATGAAACCAACAATAAGAAAAAAACAGGCAAAAAGTGCCAATGCCATGTCCCTTTAGGACAAGGGTGATCACAGATTCTTTGTTTATCAAAAATATAACATAGAAAATCAGATGATTTAAATAAAGACTTATCAATTTACAGCTGAAATGCCGAGATGTAAGTGTAAGTTCTATGCTAACAGTTTCTTCTATTGCACTTCTCGCTTGTGGAAGTCTTCCAGCTTCTTGCTTCCCATTCAACTTCAAAAATTTAAATGCAATGTTAATCATTATCTTGTTTTCTTAATTCTTTTATTGTCCTCTCTCTCTCTCCTTAATAGTAGTTTTTCTCATATTCTCCAATGTTCAGTAACCTCAATGCATCCTATTGGCTTTATTGCTTTGCTTGGGGGTAAAATGATCAACAAAAGTAAACAAAAAATGGATGCGGGTTTGTAACTAGGTTTCACTTTTTCCATATAGTTTAGACTAATGACTGGATTGGTGAGGAAAAAAAAAAAAAATCGTGAATTTGCTGTAAAATTTATAATCAATTGCTCATCACTCTCCCATATAGATATCAAAATTCATTGACTTTTTTTTTTTTTTTTTAGAGATGTGTGAACAAACAAACATGAGGAGACTAAATAAGCTCAATCCAGCTTTGTTGTGAGAAGTAATCGAATTAAAAAAGAAAAAGAAAAAAGACTGAGATGTACCTCAGAGATATAAAGCTCAGCCTGCTTGAGGAGTTCTCCAATAAGCAGGACATTGGAAGTGGTCCCATCTCCTGTAACATCATCCTGGGCAGTGGCAGCTCGAGCAATTAGGGAAGCAGTTGGATGCTGAATTTGCTGTAAAACAAGACACAAAGAGATAAAGGAATTCAAAATAATCAGCAATAATTGATGATGATGATGATGATGATAAAAGAAACTTTACTTTGATCTCAGTAGATATTAATTCCAATCTTAAAAAAAAAAAAAAAAAAGAAGCTGTGACAACACAATGACAACTATTGTTAAAAGAAATACCTATACAGTAAGTATAGCATGTGTGTTAAATTAACTCTTACAAAGAATTATCATGTGTCAATTATTTTTGTTTTCATACATAATTTTTGCCAAAGTTTTTGGGATGAAGAATCATCATTTTAATTATTATTGTCAACTCAACTATTGTCATCCTCAGCTTAGTTTTCTTTTTCAACCTTGCATGTGAAATCCTCAGAATATAAGACTTAACAAAATATGCTTTCATTTTTTTTTTATAGCAGAGGTATACAAATATTTTAATAACTGGAGGGAACCCCACCCCCACAAAAAACAATCTTGTTCTTATTGCAATGGACAGTGTATGTAAACAACAAAGAATTCCCAAAAAACATTATTTATACTCAGAATCAAAAAGAGACAACTGAAATTTCTTGAATATAATAAAGGAGGGAGGTTTGGAGAATTTAACACTCATGAGGCATATCAAAAGTAAAGGGGTGTGAGTGTGTGTGTGTGTGTGTTCAGCATAATTTAATTCAAAGTAATTGTAATTAAATTTTAATCAAGGAGTAACAAAAAGCAAATAAGACCCAAGTATTTGGTAAAAGACAAAAATAAATCAAAACTAAAATTTAGGGAAAGTTATGAAGCAATCAAGAGAAAATATTCTGTGACTTCCATTACTCCATCTGTCACACCCTTTATAATAGCCATACATTCAGCAATTGAAACCAAATTTTGGGGAGAAGTGCAAACAGGTAAGGGGGTACAGTGGTTTTACTAGGGTGCATAGCTTAGTAAGATATATTTTCAAAAATTTGGAATCTGGCTCCAGAAAGAAATATTTACGCATGGCCAGTTGTATGCTGCACACTCAAGAGTAAGAAATCCTAATAATTTCTTTGCTGTTAAAAAGGAAAAAAGTCTTTTTAATATTGTTTACCACAAAGTCTTATTAAAGAAATTATTAAACTGTGAAGTAGGGTTTTTGCCAAGTATTTTTTAAACAAATCAGCTTCATCAAATTTCAGTGATTGGTTTGCGAAATTGAATGAGAGTTCGAATTTGTAAATCTCAACAAAAATTTTTTTAGTGATAACTTCAACAATACTAAATACGGTGAGGATTTGAACAGCGTTAGTGCATTACAAAAAAATTCTAGCGGTTAAAAACTTTGGATTGTAAGTATTTGATTAGGGGGGGTTGGAAGAACTTATTGTCAGGTCTTACCATTTCATGCAGAAGAACATTGCCATCTTTGGTCAACTTAATATCACCAGCACCAGACACCAGCCTGCAATAAATATAAAATTCAATGATTACCCCTTTAATGGCACATTGACTCCTATATAAAAGGTCATTCAGATTTCTTAATTGTTTAATCATACATCTAAACTTGGATGAAAAAAAAAAAAAAAAAAAAATATACAACATTAGACACTTCATCCCACAAAAGGGCTTTAGATTAAGAATTAATAATGGTCTTACCAATAGTTTTGTGTATGTGCGGGAAGAACAAATGCTGGTTACAATTTTATATTGCGAAATACAGCATAAATTTTTAGCATCAAACATACCCAAACACATAATCTAGCCAAACTCCCTCTGCTTTCTATAATTTTTTTTTTTTTAAATACCCCGGTGTAATAGCCATAATTTTGTTAGGACAGGGGATGTGCTGGATGAACCTGAAGGTAAACATATCACGGAAAACTGAAATTAATGCACTTTCAATACAATTTATCCTCAGTAAATTATTTTCTCTTTTAATTGTGAAACTGCATATGGTCGAATTTATGGCCAGACTTATCACGATGAATAACTAATATCTGTATTTCTGAGATGAGGTATTTTAATTATTTACTCTATTTATATTGTTCCAACTGTTGTCCTCATCTTTTTTGCCATATTCATGACATTTCGGCCATTGTATGCTCTGGCTTTCTTCAGGGTCTGCCTATAATTTCTGAGATGAGGTATTGTAATTATTTACACTATTTACATTCTATGGACTGCTGTCTTCATTTTTTTTTTGGCCATATTCACTAAATTGAATATGGCAAAAAGGATGAGGACAACAGTGCAAACAATGTAAAGTGTATTTTTTGTAAAAGACCCCTATTTTTTTGTGTTTGTATAATCTTTTATAGACTAATTTTTTCCATTTTGTTATTCAATTACCAACTGTTAGTTTGATAGATTTGTGTATATATATATATATATATATATATATATATATATATATATATATATAAAAGCTTTTATGAAGATAAATTTTTTTTTTTTTTTAAATGATTCCACCCCGAGTAAGTCAATAAAACCACTAAAATGCAAGAGCTTACAGAGTGAGAGACAATGGGGGGGGGATATAAAGCAGAGAGAACAATAAAAGAACTGGAATTAAGATAGAAGATAGTGAGTGACATTGCATTTAAATCTTTGAAGATCAAAGTTGACTGGAAGCCAGAAGAGTTCCACAGTGTGAGGGAAGAAACTGTTACAATAAAACTTAATTATATCTCGCCATTTCAACTGTAAAAAATGAAACCTTGCCACTAATCTATTACTGCACTTAAATTCATAAAGCCTAAGTACCAAAGACGAAAGCTCATCAAAACAATTACCATGAAAATATTTGTAGAAAAAGCACAGAGAATCTACATTATGGTGGTGGAAAAGTGACTGAATCCGAGAATTTATGGCAGAATGACTTCTATATAATATCTGTGGAAATCAGAAAAGAATCTATAGTAGGTACCTCCAAAGAAAAGTGATACACATGATTTAAAATTAAAAATCTTTCTTGAAGCTTTTTAGTTTTAATTTCAAGCTAATAGATTAAATTTAATATTTCCAATAAGCAAAATACTTTCAAAATAAGTTTAAAATTGATTGGAATTATTTTTTTCTTTTTAAATCACTAAAACAAAAATGGCTGATTTTAGCAATTTTAAGTAGGGACTCCACTTTTTTGGCATAAATTTTCAATACCTAAGGTTTAAAATTAAATTTTAAAAATGAAAAATCTTTTTTGAAGATTTCATTTTGGCTTTAATTGAAAGTTTAATAATTAAATTTATTATTTCCATTAAGTAAAATATTCTGGTGTATTTCAGATAGAAATTATATAGATTTGAATGTCAAATTTAATTTTGATTTCTTAAAATTTCTTAAAATTAAGAAAATGGCTGCTTTTAAGCAGCCATTTTCTTAATTTTAAGAAATTTGTAAACAAACCAAATTTTTCTATTTTAAAATTCTTTCAAAAAATATACATTTCTGACACGTTATTTTAGTAAAATTAGAAAATTTAAAGTTAATTTAATGATTTGAAATAAATATTACTTATAACATAAAAAAAAAAAAAAAATATACAACCAATTATTAACGTTTGGTCCTGTTCATCTGATCCAATGTTTGATGGACTGCTGATAGATGAAGCAATGACAGCTACTATGGATGACCCAATTGTCAGAAATCTAACTGAACACATATTTTTAGTTTTTAACTACCTAGTAATTTTTACTAATGAACATATTTTCCGCAATCATTTAATATTTTAATGACTTTTATTTACCTTTCAAAGATGCAAAAATAAAAAAATTTAAAATACTTATAAAATTTTCAATTAATTTTATAATTTAATAAACGAAATACCATGATTATTCAATTGAAGTACATCCCACACTAATGTAAATACATAAAATAAAAATATTTAGCAAAATAGTAATTGCAAAAAGTAAAACTTAGTTTAAGCTTTAAACTTTTAAAACTGGATAAAAATTTTGAAAACCTGTTGAAACATAACTGAAGCGACATAATAAAGGGACAAAACTTTTAGATCATAATAATAGCAATTTCAGTCTACCATATATGAAAATAATGAATGTATTAAGTAAGAAAATACAAAATAAAAATTTATTTTAAAAATAGAATAGCACAACTAAGTTGATTTATCTTTTCAATCTTGGATTTGTAAATTTTGTTTCCACTTAATTACTACATCACATCCAGGAAATAGCCCAGTACAGAATTTTACACTATTTTAAACTATTATAAATTATTATAATTAAGATTTAAAAAAACTGAAAAAGTTCTTGTAAAAATTCATTATCCATCAGAAAAATTTTATTTCTTTAGACAATAATGTCCTTAATATTACTTATTTACAAAAGCAATTAAAAGCTTTTCTAATTAAATAATTAGATAGTTTTATTGGATTCATTATTTTTCAATTCAGAGCAGATTTTCATTTAGAATAGCTCAAATTAAAAAAAAAAAAAAAAAAAAAATAGGTGATTTACAATCTCCAAGGAGTCCTACTTTTACCAAAAAAAAAATTTCAGGAAATAGAAACGTTTTGTGTGAAATTTCAAAAAATTAAGTAATTGGGGGTAAATAATAATAATAATAATAAAAAAAAAGATCGAATAAGTCATTCATTTGTCCTGAAAATTTCATTAAAATTGGACAATTTATTTGATTTTTACAAGAATTTCCAAATAAATGTTTTCAATGGAAAAAAAGCACAAAAACATCAATGTTATTTTATACCCACTGTGATGACATAAACAAAAGAAGACTTTAACCAAAATTTCGAACGTGTTAGAAAGGATTAAAAAATTTCAAAAAAAATAATTAAAAAATACTTTGGTCTTTCATCTTAATAATAACAAACATTTTCATTAATTTTTTTCATTAAGTTTGTGGCCTTTTTCATTACGCTGTTTTTCCACTGAAAGCGGAGGTGCCTAATTTTAAGCCATATTTACAAATGCCAGCACAGCATAATTCTCTTAAAAAATCTTTCAAGAATAAAATACATTTTTCTGAAACTGTGACAAATATTAGTGGATTTAAAGTTAATCTGATTCGAAACAAATATTTACTTCTAGTTTAAAATATCAGAGAAAAGCATTTTTTAATCTAGATATGGATGTTTTTATGATGAGGTGTTGACAACTCTCTTGATACTGATGTTTGGGAATTTTTTCTACAGGCAAATATCTGTAAAAACTACTTGACAAATATAATGTGAGCACCACTTTTACTTAATTTTTTTTTTTTTTAACTAACCAGTAATCTTAAAAATTTTAGGGAAATATTCCCAACTTACAAAAAAAAAAAAAAAAAATTTGATGATTTAAATTCTCCAAGAACTTGTGCTTATAATTTATAATATAAACATTAAAAAGTGAATTTCTCAAAATTTCATAAAATTAAATAAGTATAGTGTAACAGATGTAGTAAAACAAATATTTTTTACCAAGATTTAAAAACAAAATAATTTATAAAATAATTTAATTCACTTGTAGATAAATTCTCTCTAAGTTTCATTGAAATCCAACAATTATTTAATTTTTGCAATAATTTCTAAATTAATGTTTTTCACCTAAATAACAAAAAGCATATAGCAGCTAAAATTTCCTATTCTAATTTATGATTACCCACTGATGCAAGATTTTTATCAAAATTTTGAAGGTTCTAAAAATGTAATTTAATAATCAAAAAATCCTTTGGTATCTCCTAAATAGATTTTGACGATGAAACTTCGTTTTTATTAAATTTTGGGGGCATTTTTTCATTTTGTATGGTAATTTTTTTTTTTTTTTTTAAAGCGAATTTTTTGGGAGGTACCTAAAGGGAAAAATGAGGAAAGTGAAAATTATGGTGATATTGTTTTTGGAACGACGGCCACTCGTAAAACAGACACCAACGCGTATAGTCCGGTCTAAACTACATTGCAAATTGACTTTTTTTTTGGGGGGGGGATCTAAATATTGGACACATTAAGTCGGGGTTCAGTTTTACATTATACGTACATTATAAATCGAACCCCCATTTTAAAACTCCATACGTTGCCACTTTTTATCTAAACTGAAATTTTTCTCGAAAAAGCTAGTGAGACTCAAAGAAAACTATCTTCAATGTACAGTGTGGTCCGAAAGTCTTGTCACCCTTAATTATCTATTCTATTTCAGATCGCCGACATGAGCTCCTACGGATTGGAAGAGAGGATTAGGGTGACAAGATTTTCGGACCACCCTGTAGAACAAAATACGCGGAAAACCATTTTTTTTTAGCTTAGCTGTACCTTCATCAATTCAATTGCGAATAAAAAAAAAAAAATGAAATTCTTTTAATTTACGTTTCGATAGCAACAAGCGACTGTCATTTTGTCGCCTCATAAAAAAATGGGTAGCTGATTGCCGATTGCTTTTATGTGCGGTAGTATTAAAAAAAAAAAAAAAAGTTAAAATTATATCATTGAAATGGAATAATAATGGTATATTTAATAAGCAAATTCAGTTTCTTTTTATAATTTTTTTTCTCCCGGCGGGAGGGGGGAGAAAATATGAAAATAAATGCCTTTTCTGAATATTTCAAAAATGTATTTCGGGTTTAAATTCTTCCTTTTAAAAATGATTTCATGAACGAGGAAAACAGACAAATAATATAAAATATAAATATATTAAATATATATATATATATATTTTTTTTTTTTAAATATTCTTGCTTTAAGAAGAAGAAGAAGAAGCACGTGCAGAATAATACAAGACATCGTTGAGTCATGGTCTTTTTTTTCCTTTTTTCATCGAGATTTTTAATTTCTTCACGCAAATACGATAAAAAGAGAATTACACACATAAATGATCCTTTTTGGTTTTTTTTCATTAAAGTTTCAACAGAAAAATAATAGAAATACCAATTAAAAGTTTAAAAAAAATGGAAGTTAATTCATAATCGACAAATAAAAAAAAAAAAAGAAAAAAAAAACGAAATCCTCATCATTGCAGCAAACAATTTCCAATTTTCTAGATTTTAAAAATTTCCACCATTTGAACATTAAAAGACATTTAATCATTTACTATATATCTATTTCGACAGAATTTACATACGAGGAAACCGGTATAATGAAAAAAAAATCCTAACAAAGCCGGTTTCTATTTCTGGAAGTTTCTTATAAGGTGCAAAAATACTAAAAGATAGACATGCTGGGACAAATTGTAATGGAGGGATTGAGGAAAAAAAAAGAAAAATAATTGGTTCTTTACATTTTAAGGGTACCCTTCGGGCCCAGATTGGTCCTGAGAACATCTTGCAGTCCTTTGGCGGCGCTGATATTAACAGCAAGAGCTTGTGCAGCACGAGCCACTTCGGCTTTCGGGTTAAGACATTTGACAGCAGCCATCTTGAATTAGACGAGAGAAGCGGTATGACTGCTGAGTCACGTGCGGGCGGTGTAAAACGAGAACCGGGCACACAAAAGTACGGATGGACATTATGACATGAAATATTTACTTCCCTTTTAGCTTCACTTCCGGTGAAATGGATTTTTAAGTGCTTTTCTTATTTTTTATTTTTTTCTATCTGTATAATTAAGATTTCATAATATGAACCTGCTCAATGGCTAGAGCTGGAGTGTGTGTGCGTGTGTGTGTGTGCGTGCGTGTGTGTGTGTGTGTGTGTGTGTGGAGGGATTCAATGTTCAATACTAGTTAAAAAAAAAAAGAAAAAAGAATTCAAAGTTCAATCAAGGTTCAATCAATTTGGAAAACTAACCACAGTGCAGGTAAACAAACCTGCACCGCATGAAGTTTATGATATGTGAATGTGTGTTTATGAATGTATTACAACTGAGCAGGGAGTTGGATCCTCACTGAGTGCTTCCTACTTTCGGATTTGTGCCATATCTGAGCTATGGGTAGGAAATTATCGTGTGTATGTGTGTGTGTGTGTGTGTGCATACTTCGATGTGGTGTAACGGTTTGCAAAGCTTGTTTTGTTAGAGGTAGGTCAATTATGACTCAGTAGTGAGTTCAATCCTCAATGGGTGTCCCATAGTTGCGACTTTGTAACGCGTCTAAGTTACACTAAGTATCTATCTATCTATCTATCTATCTATCTATCTATAGATAGATAGATAGATAGATAGATAGATAGATAGATATGCACGATGAGGAGGTACGGTGGAGAAATGGATAGCTGAGCTCGGATTGAGGAATCAGAGAATTCGAATTACATTCACTTACGTGTTAATACCCTTGTGTAAGGTATGAATCCTCTTCTTCTCCGCTAGCTATGGGTAAATAGCAGGATAGACTGAGTTCTATAGCCTTGGGTGGACACCGGTCTAGGGACACCCTGTATTAAGCGTCGGAACATGTCATGGTTCGGCCACGTTACACTGCATAACAGCCTCTGCAAAACCATCATGCAAGGCAAGCGGGGACGGAAACGCAAAAGCCGGTCAGACAACATCAAAGTGTAATGATCGCCATTACACAACACACATACATACACACTTACACAAATTCAAATTATACAACAACAAGCATTGGATAATAAATTAACACTACTTTGTAATAGACAATTTACAAATCGCAGCTATGTGACAATTTTGTAATCGCTATATTTTCATGTAGTCGATTTTGGGCACTTTTGGGAGAAACGGATCCCAAGAGCCTTCTCAACTTAGTAGATATTTTCAGGAAATATCAGCTTCTAATTGGTCAATAAACACACAAGTGGGCGTTGCAATCCACCCACGCACAATATATTTTGTCAGCGCGTGACCAAATCAAGTTTCCCGCCAAGTTCTTTTGATCCTGTCACGTGATTACATTATCTATAAATAACAGACACGAGTTTGCCTCTTTCTATTTTTTCTCACTTCTTCCTGCGAAGATGTGACCTTTAAGAATTATCGTCTCGACCATGACGGTCAGACGTTAAATAATATTTCACGTACGTACGAACTCTTACGAATTTTTCCAACCTACATTACAAACATACAGAACATTTCCAAATATGCAACAACTTTATTCTTCTAAAACTACAGTTTAATAATTAATTCAACTTCGCGAGCTCCGATAAAAATATTCCCAGTCTAAGAGACATAACTCCATTAGATCTTTAACTTCAACACATAAATAAATACAATGTTGTGGGGATCACTTACATGTGCCACACCTCCATTTCCTTCAATATCATTGGTTCGTAAATATATGATACTTATCATATGACAATTTTGCCATCGCAGGTAATTTGAAATTTTCTCTAAAATCACGGATTGGTCCATTTCCTGACCAATCGTGTATTTTAGTATCTTTCTATATTTTTAGCGCCAAGCTCGCTGGAGCTTACCCAGCGTTATATAAAGACTCTCGCTGTTTGCCAACAGTTAGTAGCAGTTCAATTCTTGGAAAATAAGGCACGGCGCTATATTGACATTTTAATTCTTAATTATCACTCAATCGAGTAATCATACCAATTCCTATTGATATCACTCATGAACATTACATTTTTCTACACTGATAAAACACTGTGGAACTATTCTTTATTTAGCTAAGACTTTAATTGAACTTTGTAGTTAAATAACATTCAATATTGTACTCAACATTAATTAGCTAAACTTACCCTTTTTATTACGGAAAAAGGGAAGCAACTTTCTTTATACTATTGTTGATATTTGTATATCATTGTTAATACAATATTTTATTAATGTTCACTGAGCTTGATTATTTTTCTCTCGTGTTTGTTGTGCATTATTCATGTGGGGTGTTGTTTTACAAGAACACGGCCTTCCTTCTTGATTATATTCACGGTGACCCTAGCCAACAATACTTACAGCATCACCACAATGTTATGTTTTTTAAAACCATTTTGTTCCTTCTTGTATTTCAAGCTTTGTGGTATTTATGTATTTTGGTTGATACAAAGTCGTCAAAATGTCTGTAGTAGTCCTTGCAAGAATGAGTTTATGTGTACGTAGACAGGAACTTATGTGTGTATGTATGTATGTATGTATGTATGTATGAGCGTTATCGAAGGGTAGGAATGTCTTTGAAGTAAGCGCTCGGTCTTAAAATGTTCCGTTAGTTTATCAAGTATAAAAGAGGTGAGGGAAAAGGGTGGAGATAATAATAACGCTTGCTTGACGTTGTCAAGGGTCTTGTTAATACGCTCGTCTCCTCCTCTCTGGTGACAAGCGAACTTGCCCGTCTTTTATTTTGTTTGTGGGGCTTGAAAAGGTCATTTGAGAATTCACTCCCGGATATGATTCGAGCCTTTCCTTTGGACAATGAACAAATTTTAGCGTCGGCTCGTGAAAAGGTCCGTGAAAGAAAGAAGTGAAGATTATTTGAATTTTGTTTTTAAATGTTTCCTAGTTTTCTATTGACCGAAAAACATTTCGCATCAAGGTGTGAAATTTTAAGAGTTTTGTTTTGGATTCGCTTTTGCGTGTGTGTTAAGCAAAGCTTGTAAATTCGAGTCTTTTTAATTTCTAACAAAATCAATAAGTCAGTGCTTAGCATTTGAATTTTAACTCTAGATCTTGTTTTGTTCATTGCAGACTATTTGAGACAAGTTCAAAGTGCAACAACCCCTCAAATTTCCACCAAACACACAACATGACCTTCTGTTCAAATCGCAATTGCTTGACAACAGATTCTGAAATCTGACTGGAACGATGCCACTAATTTCTCTTATTAGGATTATGAAAATATAATACCCAGTTATAATTCGACATTAAAATTGGGTATCTTGAGGATTTGCCAGCAGTTGTTTGCAAATATTCACATGTCGATGAGTCTAGACATTGATCAGTTCAGGAGGAACTTCTCGACAGCGTCTGTTCCCAAGGCCAAGTTTATTGAAGCTGTCGACTGATCGTGCTTTGTGAACGTTTAGCACCCCGGTACCATTTTTTTTTTTTTTTTTTTTATCAATGTCAGTTTTTGTGTAAATCTGTGCAAAAGGCGGATCACAGAACTTATCCAGCTACATACATATTTTCAGAAAACCTCAATTTCTAATTGGTCAATAAAGACACAAGTGGACGTTGCAATCCACCCCCATACAAGTCTTTTTCCAGCGCGTGAACAAGTCAAATTTTCCCGCCAAAAATTAGAAATGCTTCCAGGAGCCGATCACGTGATTACGTTGATTATAAATACCAGACACAAGTTTGTTCTTCCTCTCTTTCATTTCTTTCGCTTTAAAAAATGTAGCTATTTAAGAAATCGCGTTTCGACCCTTTGAGTGCGGACGCTATGAAAGCATATTCACACGCGCACACATACATGTACGTACGAAACGTAATTGCAAACATTACAAGCAAGCATCAACTTATTACGATTATTCAAATACAAGCATTGCAAACTTAATTACAAACATATACGATTTTTCAACTTATCAACCCATACTTTCCACACTTTCACAGTAAAACCAAAGAAAAGTCAACAAGAAGCGTCGCTACCACGCTAAAGAAAAGAGAAGAAGAGGATTACAGATTTTTCCAATTCTTCACCAGCAAGAAATTACTTAAAAGAAAAAGGTTTTTCTTGAAGCTACAAGTTTACCGCACATATTTTCAGCTCTTCAGGACATAATTCAAGAAACATTCTCACTCAGTTAAAAAAAAATTGCTTTTTGTAAAAACGTTTTCTTTTAGCGGCAAGATATATTGTAATTATTTTCAGAAGTACAATAACTAAATTTTATTTAGTATCAAACAAAACTTCTTGAAACATCAAGTAAATATTCAAAGTTCTATTTTACCAAACACATCCTCACAGTAAACATTTTGAGCGGCAAGTTCATTCAAGTTTTTACGAGCTCAGATAAAAACATATTCCATTAGACTTTAATTCCAGTCAAAGGGAGGTAACCCCTATGCTTGTACATGATTACAGACATAATATAAATATTCCTTGTTATAAAACAGTTTTGTGTCCCTGCTTCTTGTTTCTCTTGATGCTTTTGCGTTTGCTTACACATTCGTAAAGTAAAAAATGTACGGATTGATTTAGGCCGTCAATACCGCTACAAACGAGTGCTTGTGCTTGGCTGTTGTTCAACCATTTCAAGCAAGGTCTCATCTTCCACAACAAAAAGTCTTCCTGAAACTTGATTTATCTTCGAAACTGTTGTTACCTCCCTTGAAATGTCTGAACCAGTTTTGTGCCACAGATTCATTCACAGTTCCTTGGCCTTTCACATCATTATTTTTTTTGCTGCTGCCTTGCACTCAGTCCTTTTTCCATAGGTAACGTAAAATGGCTCTAATTACAATTTTTTCACCACTCATTATCAAAGCAGTAAAATAAAGAATAAGCAATGTTTAAATGTTATACATGAAAATAAAGAATAAGCAATACTTGTGCAAAAAAGTTGTATTGTCGGAGTTAGCTTCTCCGTAATCCACAAATTGTCACTAGGGGTCATTCTCCCTGGGCGACTTCTTGCCTCGTTCTCTTTTCTTCAGGCCTCGTGCCGCATCCCACCTCGCGTGAAGATGAGGTAAATCATCTTTTTCATTTCTTCATTTCAGCGACTACAATGTAAGCTCTCTTAGAAGATCCGCATCTTCCCATTTGTGGCAGATGCCATGAACATTATACACACATACACGTACGTACGAACATTCACCAAAGAACAGACACAAATGTTCACACACACGCAAATGTTAATGTCTATGTCCATTGGAAAATTAAGTTGTTTAATACATATATTTGTTGAATATACATACATATATATATATATATATATATATATATATATATATATATATATATATATATATATATATATATCGGTCTTGTTTGTCTTCTTTATCTTCAGTTGGACTTAATTCAAGTCCGGCCATCTTTTTGTAGCTGGACCTTTTAATATTCTACCAGGAGCTACAGACGTGTTTCTAATACAACAACGCACAAACACACACAGTCCTCTCTACAGTATCAAATTAATGATATAACATGGAGAAATAAGTTGACAAAAATAACCAGTGAAAATAAAAAAAAATCATTTGACTCAACCTGGTAAACCAGACAGGGGTGTATTTCTTAATCATTTCAACTCGAACTGTTGCATCTGATTGCTGCCCGGATTATCACAGAGACTGCTTGGACTCTGATTTTAACTATTTGATACATTGTCCTTTTATTTATTCCTCATGTAAATGGGTTTGAATTAATTTTTATTAAAAGACATTTCTGTTTTGTTTGGAACTGATTTAATAATGTGTCTTCTAGGATCTGAATCTGCCTAATTAATCCATTTTACGAAATCTTAATTTGTATAGACTTTTTAAATGTTTCTTTACAGACATTACACAATAATGATAACTTTTAGTGGTATAGGACTTTGGGGTTAAAATGAACAATTGATTTACCCATGCCAAGAAAGTTAATTGATGCACATAATGACGAAGAAACACACGGATTATTTTAAACAAAACAAGAAGGGGTTTATTTCTGAATTTACATATTGTGTCAGTAGTTCGTTTCAGGAAAATTGTCGCGGCCGTCTTTGGCCGCTCCCTAAAGCGAAAGAGAACAGGGCATTTCAACCTTGAGCTTTCGATCGTTTTCCCTACACGCTGGTAATTTCGTTTTAGAGATGAGCTAATTACCTTTTAGTTCATTTGTATTACGAACCTAGTCGTAATATATCTCTAAGCATTTTTAAACCTTAGTTTTTGCGTAGCAAATCTCAACTCATTTTTTAGAGAGATTTTATAGCATTTTAGCAAGACCATTTCTGTTGTTAGTCTCCCTTAGCATAACACAGCGACTTCTCGCCGAATTCCGGGTCGGCGCCTGAACGGTCGGTACGCAGGCTCCTGGCCTTCGTGGCCAGGGCGTCGACCAGGGCTGCGTATTAATTTACGCTCCCATTTTTTGTCTGCCAACTGGACGCGAGTTGGATCTACCTTTCTTTCTCTCTTTACTTCGCCTTCTTACTTCTGGCTCCTTGCTCATGTTCGACTCTCGGCATTCCGTCCCTACTGGCTGTCCGCACGCCGTCCATAACTTTTCCCGTACACTACGGTTATGATTATTACGGGAGGTTTCAATATCGGACTCGACTAGCAGACACGCAACGCCAGCACCGGATATTCGATATGCCCAACAACATCGCAACGCCAGCCCCTCTTTCCTTCCCAACACATCCAGTTGGAAAACAGATCAGCCGACCAGCATCATTTGCGACGACCAGCAGCGATCATCTGAGATGACGAACCAACCTTCCCCGTATACTATCTGTTGTAATTACTACGGGAGGTTTCGACACTGACCTCGACCAGCAATGCTTGCACTGCAACGTCCAATCGTCGACACGACCGGAATGTCAGCACCTTGACTCCAACCGTCGACACGACCGGAACGTCTGCACCTCGACTCCAACCGACGACACGACCAATCCAACCTTCGACACGACCAGTCCGACCACCATTACTACGATTGGCAGACCAATATACCCCTTCTTATAATAAACTTAGCATTAATCATACATATCCTCGTTCTGTTGTCCATTTTGTTTCACCTTGTCAGATTTAACGTCTTTAATACGAAAAACATTAGCGGGTCTCTAGTGACCTCATCACTTACGATACGGGGGCGCTCGGGCCGTGCTTTCATATCCCCCCTCCAGGGGGTCCGCTACAAAATAATCCGAAATTTTTAAAGTCCATAGTTTCAATGAACTGTCATGAAGGGTATTGTAGCAATTCCGCTACTCCTCCCACCTGACTAAGGGCTGGCCTTGACCTTTTCTTCGATGCGTTGCCACACACACACACACACTTCAATTTAACTTCATTTAGTTTAATAATAAGCCTAATGAATTTGTAGTTCTTTCAGTGTTATGAACCTTTTCAAACATTTTCATATTTCGTAGCCGCTCCTTTTCTTGAGAGTTTTTAGTACTTTGCAGGAACAGTTAATGTTTTGTCGGAGTTAACTCCTCCTTAATTCCCAAATTAGCCTTTAGTCAGTTATGTGCCATGCGTGATACACGCTTAGGCGATCATGTATCTTTCGATACTTGACTGACGAGGTAGATTTTTTCTCGCATTAGGTTGCCATTTCTTTCTGCGGTAGACCAGTTGTCATCCAAGGTTATAGAACCCGGTCTGTCCTGCTATTTACCCGTAGGTGGGAAGGAGGAGAAGAGGAGACCTTTCCCAAGGGTATTAGCACGTAAGTGAATGTAATGGATTCGACTGGAATTCGAACTCGGCTCTCCGATTCCTCTACAAACTGTAAACTCTAATCAGTTGTAACAACGAAAGTTAATTTAGGAAACTTCAAAAGTACTTGATGTTTGCTGGGCATATGAAAAAAAATTATTATACTGAAATTTTGCTATATAATGAAAATGTATTTGTACATATTTTTTGTATGTAACATTTAATGCTACCAATGCAAGGGGGATAACTCTCTGGTGACTTTTAAAAGTTTGACACAAGATGGCAGTGTTTTTGCTATGACAAAGACAAATTGAATGTTTGACATATATGCCCAAGGGAGAGAACTCGGAGTTACAATTTGCTTCAGACATGAAATGATTTTGCTAGAAGACGAAAAAAAAAAAAAAAAAAGTAAAAATTAGTAATTAAAAGATCTTGACAAAGCTGGAAGGTGAAAAGACTGGCTGCATTATAAAACAGAGTTGAACTACTTTCGAATGAGAAAGAATATGATAAAAAGAAAAAACTTTTTAGCCTCTGATCGAGAGATGGAACATTTTGACGAGCGTGAAACAACTTGTTTAAATTGCTGCAGTTCCCAGGTCCACCCTGACCCGTTTATGGGTAAATCGTGAACTCCCAAACAAAAATAAAACACTATGAAATTATAAAAATACATTTTCATAGTAAAAGAAAGTAAAAAAAATCATGTAGTAAAAATATCAGCAATACATTTTTATATAAAAAAATGACCAACAATAGTTACAGTAAAATGACGAACAATAAAATAAGCAACAATACATATTCATAGTAAAAGGACCAGCATCACATGTTGTAGTTGAAGGCATAAAAATGCGCTCAAAATATTTAGATTTCGGCATTAAATAACCTATAGAGCTTGATATACCATTAAATAAAATCAACCAACATGAAAGAACTCTTTCATGGCATTAATTAATCAATATAATATCCTTTAATTTGCAAACTCACTTGCAGCAAAATAACTTCGAATTTTGCAGACTCACTTGCAACTATTAGTATATGGGGTGTAAATGCCACACAGTACTGACTATTCTGTGTTAAGTAGAATAACGCGTTCTATCCTTCCAGTAGCATACCGATACTAATATTAGCATTAGTGTAGCCATTGATACACTAACACTGATTGCGAATATAAAAAGACGAAATACGCGAGCGTAACCAACAAAACATTTAATATGGCAAGCAGCCTTCCTACATATATACACAAGATTTATACATGTCCCAAAACAAATAATTGTCCATGTTGTCCCAAAGGAACGAAGAGGTTAAACAGGTCAAAGGTTTTATAACCTGCGCACAATTTGGCAGGAACCTTCGAAAAAAATTTACCATCCCTAAAAACTGTCACAACTTTCTCATGGTATCTGGCAAGGGAAAGTCAGAAATGGCCGCCACTTTAGATGGAGAAGGTGAAACTCCAGCTGAATTAATGCGGTGACCTAGGAAAATAACTTCAGACTTTCCAAACTCACACTTTACTCGGTTGATAACAACCACAAATTTCTCAAAACGCTCGAAAACGATCTGTAAATGTTTAATATGTTCTTCCATGGAAGAACTGGCTATAAGTACATCATCCACATAGGCACAGACAAAAGACAAAATGCAGACCGTGCAATACATGGTCAATAAATCTCTGAAAAGACTGTGCTGCGTTTCTTAGTTCAAATGGCACACGCAGAAACTCAAAAAACCCAAATGGTGTTGTTATGGCAGTCTTTGGAATGTGTTCGGGTTCTACCGGAATTTGATGGTAGGCCCTGATAAGGTCTAATTTAGTAAATATGCACCTATCCTGAATGATGGCCGTTACATCATGTATATGAGGAATGGGATAATGGTTAGGTTTAGTGGCAGAGTTGAGTGCCCTATAATCACCACAAGCGCGCCAGGTACCACCACTTTTGGGTACCAGGTGCAAAGGAGATGCCCAGTTACTCTTTGATGGCCGGATAATACCAAGTTCCATCATTTGGGTAAATTCCGCTTTCGCCACACTCAATTTTTCCGGTGCCAGACGACGAGGACGGCTGTGAACAGGAGGACCGCTAGTAGCAATGTGGTGTGTTATATTGTGGGGTAACCTATCTTTGCGAAAAGCTGGTTTGGTAATGCTCTCGAACTTTTTTAGGAGCTCACAGAACATAGGATTATCTTCTGTGTTAGCCACAGTAGGACATGATGGAATTACATTATGAATGGCTCCCGGCGAATGAGTATTTGTCTTAGGGTCTGTCAGACAACGTCTGTGAACATCAATGAGAAGACCAAATTTGTGTAAAAAATCTGCACTCAATATGGCCTTCTCTACATCCACAAGGACAAAGAAATGGGTGAAAACCCGTCTCAGACCCAAATTCAATGTAAGGCACCTCTGACCATAAGTCTGGATGAGCGACTTGTTCACGGCCTGCAAAGGTAAGATTGTGAGGGCCTTTTAACTTGTCTGCCCTAGTGGCAGGAATTAAAGATATTTGCGCACCACTGTCCACGAGAAATGTATACCAGTAGTGCGGTCCGAAACAAATAGTAAGCGACAAACCCCTCTCACGCCGGCGCACCGGGTCGCCACCGGTCGCCAGACTAGGCTTTTCCCTGTTGCGAATTGAAGGAACAGGGGGGCTTGCAATAATTAGCCCTATCTCCGAATTTCCTGTGTAAGTAGCACATTGGCTCCTTGCTAACAGTTCTTACACGACCTCTACTTTGGGAGCGGTGAATGCTAACCTTCTGCAACCGTCTCTCTAAGTCTTCCATCCTAGCCTCTAACCTTCGTTGTCCCTCCAAAAGTTTAGCCAGCGGATCTGGTTCTTGCGTCTGTACGGCAGAAACGGGAGCAGTGCATCCCGAAGTTAGGTCAGCTACATTATCTGCTATTTCAGCCAGCTTTTCGACAGGTGCATCTTCACCCACTGCGGCTAAAACAGCGTGATACGCAGAGGGCAAATGCTGGAGAAAATATGACGTATAATGCCATCCTCATTACTTTCTCCGGCTAGATGCTGCAAACGACGTAAAAATTGCGACGGCTTGATGTCTCCCAATTGTTCCTCATGCAAAAGCTGCGACAATTTCTTTTGCCGTGACATAGACGTCCTCCGAACAAGTTCCTCCTTTAACTTGTAAATGGCTTGTCTTTCGGCGGAGAGATAATAATTTCTCTCACCTCCTGGACAGCTTCGAGAGGCAACTTGGAGACCGCTAAATTAAATTTTGTTTTCTGAGAGGTAATTCCTCTCAGTTCGCACTCCGACTCTAACTGTGCGAAAAATAAAGCGGGGTCCGCTTTAAAGTAGGCTAAGCTGACAGTGTTCACTGCCGACACCACGGCCGTTTTTTCCTCATCCATATCGTATATTCTTTATGGGGATAGTTACCACACAGAAATAAGCCTCACAATGCGAAGTACCACAGAGAAAAAAAAAAAAAAAAAAAAACACAAACGAACCTAAATATTTTAAACAAAAAGTCAGAAATGGCTATCACTGGTATTACCACTAATGGGTGTTGTCAACTCTAGCAGTAAGCTACTGACCAGTCTGCCTCCAAGGGCGAGGCAGTCTAACGTTGCCGGCCGACGCCAAATTCAAATACAGCATGGGAGAAAAAGCACACGAGGGAGAGGGAAGCCATGTTGCCATGTTATACAAGTCGTCATTCCTATATCGCAAATTATTTGTGCCGAAAGAAAAAAAAACTCTCTAACACACGAAGTTAACATTAACAGTTATTTTTCAAATTGCAAAAATATACTGCCACGTTGGAGTAACCACTTATTAGTATATGGGGTGTATCTGCCACACAGAGTACTGTGGTCTCCCTACACAACAATTCACTTTGAATACTCGAACTATTGGTTTTTCATGGCCACAACAAAGACAACTGAATTATAATGTAGCCACTGCTACGCTTTCCACGCCCAAATTTTTATTCGTCTGCGATTGGCTAATAAATCGATACTGCCTTTCCATGAGACAATTTAGCAATCGCAGTCACCACTTTGAATTTTTTCTGCCATGAATTTGCTGACATGTTTCGTTGTTACAAAATCAGTGATTGAAAGCATTCATTGGTTAATAAATCACCACTACGTTATTATAGACAAGTTACAAATCGCAGCAATGCGACAATTTTGTAATCGCTCTATTTTCATGTAGTCAGTTTTGTGCACTTTCGGATCACAGAAGCTTTCTTAACTCTCCCCAAAGCTCGCTCGCTGATTGGTCAAAGCCAACCAATCAGATCGTCTGCACGTGAAGAGTAAATTTTCCCGCGCAGCGATCTGGAGCCTATAGTCACTTATTTAAGCAAGAATTTTTCTTAGCTAATTAGTGAGAATTCAGCTGCCAAACGAATCCACGACAGTTGAAACCATGCGCCAACCTTCTCACTCACACACACCACTCACATGCTGAACATATCTTTTCTTACACAGCAAAATCTTTTGAGAACAGTCATTATAAGAGACTCTCATAAACATTCTTCCAGTGAACTTTGGAATACTAAAATAAGAGTTAAAGAGAGACAACTCTTGTTTTATTCAACCTTTTCTTACTTAAATGCATGCTTTCTTTCACATCATTGTTTGATATTATACATCTTGTTAAATACATATTTTATGTGTAACAATGTCTTTTGATTATCCTTTTCTGCATTAGCCCTGTTTCCTAATCTAAAGTTAAATTAATGTGGTGAAGTCCGCCACATATCAGAGTAGTCGTTTATTGCTGGTCATACATAAACTGTTGACTAACTGCCAGGGGCCATAACTGTCCTTTCACTACTGAAAATTAATGGACATAATAGTGTTATGTTCATAAAGTCCTTTACAAAGTGAGCCTTTTCGGTGACTGGACGTTCCGACCGCTTCTGCTGTATTTTTGCTGACTGATCAAGAAAGTTTGTTGACTCGTTTTCCCAGCCATACATGAATTCATATCGAGGAGTACGTGGTATGGTGGTTGTCTTCTGTGGTGTAGCCACTAAAAAGGGAAGATGATTTCTCTGTTCCTTAGGTACGCAGCTGCAAATGACATCACGAAATCCGAACCAATAACTACTACGACGCAAAGAATATATTTAGCTGTTTCAATACAATACAATAAGAGTAAACAAAAAACAATAACTGTCCTGGGTATAACGATAAACTACATCTGGCAGCAAGGCCTCTGATCTTGAGGTTTTGAGGAGCGTTGAACCACCTCTTAATTACTGGTGTTCCCAGATCCACTCCTGACCCGGGGGTCGTAGCACCTGTTAGCGTCCCAGCTATGGGTTAACCCCCAAACTGGGGTCAAAACACTATGAAAGTGTAAAATAAGTTTTAGCAATACATTTTTGTAAAAAATTATTACCAGCAATACATTTTTGAAAAAAAAATATTTCCAGCAATACATTTTTGAAGGAAAAATATTAGCAGCAATACATTTTTGGAAAATAAAAATTTTGTCAGGATTAAATAACCCACTGAATTTGATATGCCGTAAAGCAAAATAAACCAAACCACACCAGATACAAGTCCTGTTATTTAGCCCATACCTGGGAGAGAGGAGATGGATTCATGCCTTTCCTAAGGTTATTTGTGAGAAAATGAAAGTAACAAACTTGACTGGAATTGAAACTCAGCTCTCTGATATCTCCCTTTGTGCTGCTATCCATTACACCACCTGCACACCTGTGACAAATGAGGACGTCTCAAGGAAAAGAAGAACTACAAAGGAACTTACAATCAGAAATAAGAAGTTGAAATATCTAGGAAATATCATGAGAAGAGAGGACCTAGAGAATTCAACACTCACAGGGCATGAAGCAGGAGGAATTGCGAAGAAAGCTACTTAACAAGTTTGAGTGAGTGGAAGCCAGAACAAAAGCCACAAAGACAGAGGGGTGGTAATGGGGCAAAAGTTACCGTATGCCGTAAACCAAACCAAAAACAATAGAATGTTGGGATCCATCTACTCAGGATTTTTGTTGCTATCCGGCTGTCAGGATTCCAAAAGTAGAAGCAGAACGTCAGTTGAAATAGCATTTATATATTATTTTCAAAAATATACAATGACAATAAAATGTTCGATTTTCCTTTCAGTGAAGTTTGTTTTATAAAGTAATTAAGTGTTCTTAGTACGGCGTGAAATGTGTGAAGAGACTTACTTTATGACGTCAGCCTAATGTGTTTGTAAGTTCGTAGACGAAGATTTAGGAAGTGGTTGCTGGTTAATCCCTTCTCTTGTGTACATGGACAATTCCTTAGTCGGTGGCTGCTGGCTGTCTCACACTGTTTCAATTGGCGGTAAAACGCTTATCCAGTGCATGATGAGAGTTTTCATACTTATTTTACTATTTTTTTTATAATCTCACTTTTTCTTTCATTATTGTTGCGGACTGGGGATTGGGTTTAAATTGATCAGAAGGAATTTCGAGGCCGTGTTCTACGACATTCGTCCACAACAATTATTTAAAACAAATACTTGGAACAAATAATGCAAATAAAGTTGAAAACAAGACAAAAGTTGAATGCAGAACAATAACATCAATTTATATACAATTTGTATAAATATTCAAAGTTGCGTACCTTTATCTGCTTGAGAAAAATGGATTGTTAGTTACTGATACTTGTTATGTAGTGAGAAATATCACTTTGAAAAGTATAGTAAGTGAAGTTTGAGAAAATGTTCTAGAGAGAGATAGGGTGTGCTCGAAGGTTACCGAGTCAGTGAATATTTTAACGCGGCAAAGTCAGAGTTTAGACTGGCGTGGAGTTGATGGGCATCTCTCTAGGTGTGGAGGTCTGACTGTCTAAAGTTGGTAATTGTCTTTAACGTCTGGTCAGCAATGACTAAGACGGGAGTCGGTGAAGGTTACATCTTGAAACTTGGTAATTACTACTCGAAAGGTTCACACGTGTTCGGTTTTTATAATCACTGAGTGGCTCCCAGCATATGAGCGGGAAAACAGATTGGTCGCGTGCAGGCGGTTTGATTGGTCGGAACTGACCAATCAGCAAGCCAGATTGGAGGTGATTGACCAATGAATACTTGTTATATTGTCTGAAAGTAGAATTTGGCTTACCAGATAGGAAGACTGCATTTCCTACAAAGAGGTAAGGCTGGTTGTCTTGTGGGAGATTCTATATTATTGTTAATTATCACTCTTATTTATATTTTAAAGTAATTTTATTACTTAACTTTTAATTTTTCTTTTATTATAATTTATTATTTTGGTTTCATACTTCTACATAGTCTAGTATTAAGGATTAGAGGCTCTTTAGTGATTTATTTGTTTATATCGCTGAAGTTTCTATATTTTAGCTATGCTAATTAAATAGTGATTTACATATCACTACAAATAACACTTTTCTAATGCTTTGTTCACGGTTTCGTCCTGATTATTCTTATGAATAAATGCAGCAATATCTTCCAGCTGGCCTCGCATTTTCAGAAGTTGGATTAAATTTGACATATTTATAAAGATAACCGTTGGTTGAAAATCCAACCAACTGAAACATTTGCCAATTTTTATCAAACATTGAGTATCGTTTTTGTTGTGTAGGATGACGGCCCACCTTCTCTACACTAATCGTTGAACATAGATTCGTCCATCCACTATGAGTAGAACGTTTGCTAATAGGAACGGCCTTCGCAATGTTGGTCGCAAGGTATAGCGTTTGAGACGTACGCTTTGCCGCACTGAACTACGTTATTCGCTGTTACTGTATTATTAACCCATATCTCTTGTAAATGTTAACAAAGTTGCAGGTTTTCTGTGTATTTTTTAGTGAATGTAACGATCAAGAAGATTTTATAAAAGCTTGAGTTTCTGCTACGAACATTTATTCCTTTTAAGTTGACAGTATTAAAACAAATCTAATTGTCTCTTGCGTATGTTCTTTGCTTTTTTGGTTCAGAAATAATTTATGGGGAGTAAGGATAAAAACGGTTAAAGATGGTCGAGCTCAAGTCAGCCTCGAGTTGAGTTGGGATGACCAAATCATTACCTCATGAATAGGGCAGATAAAACATATCCGAACGATGTCGTTGGAAAGTGGAAAGAGACGGATTCTGTCTTTTCCGGAAGTGGGGTCATAAAATCGCACATGTGACCTGAAATTCTGTGTAATTTCTTTATAACTTGCATCATGGGAAAGTGATTTTTTTATTCTTTATTATTATCTTATTTATTGATTTTATTTCATTTTCCTACACTCTTATGTGATTAAACATGTTCTTCACTCAACCTTTTGCTCCAGTGTTTCCTTACATTATTATTAACCAGAAGTATGAGCGTTATACGTACTTTATAATAGTTTTCTAAATTCTTAAAAGCATTAGAATGGGTTTTGTTCAGATAACT